TGTCAACAAAATTTGACATCTTGATTATAACTTGTTCAAATGGCTTTTAGAAAATGCTATGATTTTGAATATTTTAATACTTTACCATCGCTAATTACTCACCACTTATAGTTTTCGAGGTAATTCTTGGTGCTTATGTATTATTCTGGATATACTTAAATAATTAGACCACAAAATTTTTAATTCAGAGAAAACGTATTTTGGCCAAAAAATCCTTTAAGGCTATAGACTTACAATTTTATTAATTTCGGCCCAAAAATGGATTTAATTCAAAACTACAGTATAAATTACCAGAATATATAACATCTATTATCCAAAATTGACATCTTGATTATAACGTTCAAATAAACTTTATAAAATGTTCAAATGATTTTTAGAAAATTTTAATTACGCAATACTAATTACCTCGCCCAGGGTTTTCGAGGTCATTTCTTGGTGTAATAATATTATTCTGATTACTTAAATAGTTAAGCACATTAAATTTTGAACCAAAGAAAACATATTTTTGACCAAAAATCACTAACCATAGACACACAATTTTAACATTTCGGCCAAAAATGGATTTTCTTCAAAAAATTTCAGTATAATTCACCTAGATAATGCTGTAGGATCTGCCAACCAAAAATTTATCATCTTAATTATAACTTGTTCAAAAACCTTTTAGAAAATGTTCAAATGATTTTAGAATATTTAAATACTTTTGCAATACTAATTACTCGCCACTTATGGGTTTCGAGGTCATTTCTTGATTACAATGTATTATCTGGATGTACTTAAATAGTTAGGCACAAAATTTTAGTACAGACAGAAAACATGGTCAAAAATCTTTAGGCTATAGACTTACAATTTTCTTCATTCTGACCCAAAAATGGTTTATTCAAAATTACAATATAGGCACTCACGAATGTACTGCTAAGGATCTATTAACAAAATTTGATATCTTGATTATAACCAAATGAGCACGAAAATATTTCCAAAATGATTTCAAGAATATTTAATTACTTTGCCATCCTAATTACTCGCCACTTATGGGTTTTCGAGTCATTTCTTGGTGCTTGTGATATTCTGGATGTACAAACAGTTAGAGCACATTAAATTTTAGTTCAGAAAAACATATTTTAATTAAAATCCTTTAAGGCTATAGACTTACAATTTTCTTCATTCGGCCAAAATGGATTTGTTCAAAATTTCTACCCAGTATGGTACTCCTAGATATTATGTAAGCATCTGTTAACAAATTTGATATCTTGATTACAACTTGTTCAAATGGCTTTTAAAAAATTTTCAAATGATTTACAAAAATACTAATTACTTTTGCAATACTAATTACTCACCATATGGGTTTTCAGAGTCATCTCATTCTTATATTCTGGAGCGTACTTAAAAGGCCATTAAATTTTAGTTCAGAGAAAAACGTATTTTTGGCAAAAATCCTTTAAAGGCAAATAGACTTACAATTTTTTCATTTCGGCCAAAAAATGGTTTTGTTCAAACCTAAACATAGGCACTACAGAATTTGCTGTAGGATCTGTTAACCAAAATTGATATCTTGATTATAACTTGTTCAAATGGCTTTTAGAAAATGTTCAAATGATTTTAGAATATTTTAATTACTTTTGCAATGCCCAATTACTCGCCTACATGGGTTTTTAGGATCATTTCTTTGATTGTATTCTGGATGTACTTAAAATAGTTAGGCACATTAAATTTTTAGTTCAGAAAACGTATTTTATTCAAAAATCCTTTAAGGCCCTATAGACTTACAATTTCTTCATTTCAGCCCAAAAATGGATTTTGTTCAAAAATTCAGTATAAATTACTCTGAATGTGCTGCTTAAGATCTATAGCAAAATTTGATATCTTGATTATAACTTGTTCAAATAACTTTTATAAAATTTTCAGGATTTTTAGAATCATCATTAATTACTTTTCAATCCTAATTACCTCGCCACTATAGTTTTCGAGGTCATTTCTTGGTGCTTGTGTATTATTCTGGATGTACCATAGTTAGGCACATTAAATTTTAGTTCAGAGAGAGAGAAAACGTATTTTTTCCAAAAATCGCCTAAAATATAGACTTACAATTATCTTCATTTCGACCAAAATGGATTTAATTCAAAATTTCAAATAAAATTACTCCTAAATACTGCAGCAGGATCTGTTAACAAAATTTGATATCTTGATTATACATTTAATAACTTTTAGAAAATGTTCAAATGATTTTTAGAATATTTTAATACTTTGCAATACTAATTACTCGCCACTATATAGGTTTTCAGTCAAAACTTTCATGGTGCTTATGTATTATTCTGGATGTACTTAAATAGTTAGGCACATTAAATTTTAGTTCAGAGAAAACGCATTTTCGGCCAAATCCTTTAAAGGCCAAACTTACAATATTCTTCATTTCGGCCAAAAAATGGATTTTGTTCAGAATCTCGGTAACATTCCCTGAAATATACTGTAGCATCTGTTAAACAAATTTGATATCTTGATTTAACTTGTTCAATAACTTTTAAATAAAAATATTTTTAGAATGCAATTACTTTTCCAATGCTAATTACTAGCCCTTACCAGTTTCAGGGTCATTTCTTGTTGCTTGTATTATTCTGGATATACTTAAATAGTTAGGCACATTAAATTTTAGTTCAAAGAGAAAAACGTATTTTGTAAAAATCCTTTAAATATAGACTTACAATTTTCTTCATTTCGGCCAAAAATGGATTTTGTTCATTCAATATAGGTACTCACAAAATATTAACAACCAGGATCCATGAAAATGCTGATTAAGGATCTGTTAACCAAAATTTGATATCTGCAATATTACTTATTCAAATGACTTGCAAAATTAATTACAATTTTCTAAAATCCATTTGAACAAGTAATAATCCAGATATTATTGTGTACAAAAGGAACACATGCAGTACAGTGCTCTCATTCCTTGCTTTTCTCCAGCGTACCGTAACATCGTTCATTTTTCAGGCCTTTTATTTCCCCTTTCGTTGTTCACTCGTAATCCAGTTTTCGATGAATTTTCCAACATGAGACGGATAATGAGAATAAAATTGGCGGGGAAGTTTCTCAATTTCCATTTGGTTGAGTCTTCGTCCAATCGCTGTGCCGCAGCTGAGCCTGGACCAGCTGATAGCGGCCTCGTCCCGACCCTGCCACTGGATCAGACTTTGGTACTTCAAATACGGGTAAACCAACGTTAAAATTTACACGCGGTATATAACACATCTGTCTTCCTTTCAGTTGAATTTGCATATGATTTTCAAACGAAAAATGATCAAATCTCCGTGAATAATATTTGCTGCCTAAATTTGCTGATAAATGGCGAACATCCACAAGACGAAGCAACAAGTAAAGAATATTTTGGTGTGTCTAGTTTTTCCATGTACAGTTGTCTCAAATGTTTCCTTTAACGTTAACCCTGTGGTAATGTTTCCGTACATTTGGCACAGTCGCATTACTAGAGTATATTAAGGAAGCTGTAGTAGTCTTGTAAAGGACGAAGCTGATTGGTGGAAAAGATTCATAGACGTAATTTCCCTTGGCAATAATGATTAGATATATTAATATGATATAAACTTCATATAATAATATACACAGAGGCTTCTTATAAGGAGCAATACCAATATGAATGATAAGGCCTTAAAAATAAAACGTATAGGAGGAAATTTGTGTAATTCATATCATCGTACACATGGAAACTCTTGACACAGGGACACTGGCGCCGCTGCACATGTTAATCAGTTAATTGACTGTGTTGAAACAAATCCTCAGGAATTCTAATATGTGGAGATTGATTCAGACAGTGCTTTTGTTAAGAAATTTATGTCTAATATAACATGTACTGTGATACCCTGGTGCAGTAGTTTAGATGTACTGTAAATGAATTTTAAGGTCAACTGAATAAACAAGTATACCATCTATCAAATTAATTCAGTGATTGAAGAAGATGGGGAAACTACCATTTTTGGGTGTAATGATTCACACAACGGATAATGTTTTCAATTACAGTATTTTCAGAAAACAAATAATTTGACTTATGTTCATTTTAACTCGGATCACAGTTTTGGTGCAATTGGCAAGAAACTTTGTTATCCGTCTCATGTTGTAAACAAATGTAAGGAAGATAAAGGCAATAAAGACTTCCTATGATGATAATGTAACATGGTAAAATACTTCCCAGAGATATTCTGTGTCGGCCATATCACAAAACCTTTTATCATGTTGTACCTTTGTTAATATTGTTGGATGTGAAAGCATTGTGTAAAAACTGCTGATCAAAAATAGTCCCTGTAATGATAAGTGTCGTATACACAATTCCCCGTAAGGAATGTAACTTTTTTTATATATTACAGACAGGTATAGACTTGAAATCAAGGGTAAGTCAACATAAATATTATGTGAGAACAGGTCAAATGTTTAATGCTTTATTTTTCCATTAAATGTAATACTCTTAATAGAAATGGTTTTGAATTCGCATTAATTCAGTTGACAAAATAATAATATGATTATAAGTAGAGGTCTGTACACAGTTGATCGTATTATAAAGATGTTTCATGGTGACCTATATAATACAATTAAAGACCTCGCCTGAATGATTTGACCTAAGAATTAGAGAAATATCGCACTTTTCTTCTTCCCACGTGGCTTAAAAGTTCACACATGATTGACACGCATCATATTCGTGATTTCCTTACACACACACACATATATATATATATATATATATATATATATATATATGCAAATAAATCACTGTAGGTGTGCGTGATCCATGTATATGCTGATAACCACATAGGAAAAAAGAAAACACGAAGTTCCCAAGTGCTTTCGTGTATTTCACATCTTGAGAGAGCGAGAGAGAGAGAGATAAACACTGTAGATCAGATAGAAAAGATAAAATCGTCAATATTAAGCGAGGTACATTCACCTGAGCAAGTGTGTTGGTGTGAGAGTGGCGGAAGGACAGACACACCTGTGTGAGGGAGAGAAGGAGGGAGCGACATACTAGTGCTGCTGCTGCCACCACCGCGCATGTCTCTCCACTCCCCCTCCGCTATATACTCGTTGGCAGACGCTCTCATCCTTACGACAGTGTATGGCAGTGGGTGCTGGCTCATGGTCGTAACTGAACGATATTCAAACAAGTGCTTAACTGTTTCGAGTGTAGTTCATTATGTTATGGGGACTCGTCGGGGGTGATGTGCACACCCTGTGAACAATTACACGACAAAGGCAGAATAATATAGCGTGGAAAGTGCATCTCTCTTTAAAGGACAAAACAGTAAGTGCCTGTTTGAGATTAGTGATATTTATTGGATGTACTGTACTGTAGTTCTTCATGACGCCTTAGTACCAAAATATTAGGTAGTACAACAGACACATATGTTCCAGTGTTGTATAATAGTCAGGCTCATTAAGACACGCTAAGTATTGTGTATAGTAGGAAACTCCTCCTCTTCCATCATTAGATTTGTAACTGAAACCGAATTACTTTATATTACAAATCTTAATATATTTACAAGGTTTCAGATGTCCTCAAAAAGATCAAATGTTGTTACTGATAGACTGTTGAAGTTAATGAACAACAAGTGTACATCACTGCCCCTGGTGCAGTCGACTGTTACGAGTTGGGGATTTAGAATATAGTTAAAAGTCTACCCAGATCCCAACAGGCAACAACAATAAAAAAACAAAGACAATCGGACTATAAAAGGGTAGACAAAGGATGCGAGTTTTTGTTGTGTATAATAAAGTACCATAAATTCCTTAACAAAATATTCAGCTTTCTATAATTTACCCTTAACCATACTTAACCTAAACATTAACAGTATATACATATTTATACAACATACAATAATTTGAAGCAAGGTGGAGGAGGCAATATAAGATTACAAATACTTAAGTGCGGAGCTGAGATGGCTGACGAGTAAGGCTGAGTATTGTAGAAGACGGTAGGTAGTCACTGTGCCATAGGTTTCCAGGATAGGTGATCCTGTGGTCACTTCCCAGAGTGAACTGAACTCTCATCGAACTGGAGCTTATGAAGAAGACTTGGAGGAGGTGACGCAACAACCAGGATATGGAGAAGGGAAACCCCGGACTGGTAACTAAGAGTAGTCATACTCGGGTTTCGTCCCGAGATGGCGTTTCTCGTGGTGCTAGGTAGGTAGATCAGGACAATAGATGGCGTAGTTCGTAGTGCTGGGTTGGTAGATCAGGACAATTGGTGGCGTGGTTCGTAACACGACATACTCATACTTATAGAAGTATATCTTACCGCTACTAATGAGCAGATGCAGGGGATGTTGATGTTATAATGCATCAGTTAAGGCATTTAAGCGCGTATACTAGTTTATTAATTAAAAACGAAGCAACAGAATAATGGCTAAAACTTCCTGATATTAATGTTATGTTGATGTAATGGTGTAGCTATAACTGCGCTTCAACAACTGCAAGGTCTGAAGTACGCAGACTAGCTTGCACCTGCTGCCTACACTTGACACCAACAGTAACAAGAAAAATAAATAGTATTACTGATGCCTATGTGGGCAGAATTAGTTCCGAGAATTTTGTTTTATAGTTAACTCAATCTGAAGACTTACATATCAAAATGTGACTAAATTATGTATATGGTTTGACACTTATGAATGACGGGCTCTACAAAATATTAAATCTGTTTAAGTCACTTACGCGCTGATGATTAACTAACAGGATATACGCAAGGAAAGATACAACATATAGTGTGACGATACTGGAGTTCTTACATGAAAAATTATGAACTTTTAAACCAACGGCACCGCGATTTTCTCCTCAGTGGGACACACGCGGGAAGTGTCACGAGGCGTTATCCAGTTTGACTCACTACTGTACTAACAGGACAGTATAGTTCATAACAGAGTAACAAGAAGAACAAACCAGCAATTGCTCCAACCTTTTATATTTCTAGAACTTCTACACCGAACATTGTATGCCAATTATTTTACTAATTTAATTTCTTTGGAGCGTTTTTCATTAGTGTAGCTTAATTATACACTATATTAGTTTTAGACCCACCCTGTTTATAAGTTTTTGTTAATATTATATTTCCATTTGAAAGAAATATTGTTAATATTTTTTATTTTTTTTATTTCAGTTTAACACAATTTATATTTACTTAATTATGATGTACTGATGAAGGAAGAGGATAAACTGTCTAATACTTAACTCTGAGTTTTCTTAGGAAGGTGTGGGATAAGGCAAGTAATTATTGGTGAATGAGGTTGATAAGTGTCAGCGGTGACGCAGTGTACCAGCTGAGGTGACTCACACAATACACCTGGTGGTTATCACACTCAGCTGAGTAAAGTATATATATGTCAGGGAATTTTCAAGTCCATTTTTTGAAAGAAAATGCTTCAGTTAGGTTGAGTGTGTTCGTGAGTACTTCCAAGTTCCAATACTTCACCATTGTCTCATGTCCATTAAAATACACACTTTACCTGTCACCCCTCACCTGAGATGTATGATTAGGGTAATTAATGTAAGCACTCTGCAGGTCCGTCTGTCACTAAATCAACGTAGATAATGGCTTCAGTGAGGCGTCGAGTACAGCCTCCACCCTTAAGAACTCCTAACTCTCTTTATCGACAGTCATAGCGCTGCCTACTGGTCTTTCACACAACGCGAGGAATGGCGACAATACATATATACAAGTGTTTCAGGCATTACTCTTTTTATTTTTGTGTTCACTATATATTCTGCAGACATAGAGACACTACGTAGTTACCAAAAGTCTTTAAAGCGATAGCAATAAATAATGAATGTTGTATGGAAGTAAGTGAGAATGTTTTACCGTTTAAGGATATATTATAAACACACTTGAAATTTATTAATGTTAGGACGCAGAGGAATTTGGTATAATGAAGGCGATCCGTGAGGGGTAGCGTGGATACAGTACACTGCAGATTAAACCTTTAGTGATCGACTGTTTTAATTGGCTAATTCGCTAACCAATGAAGAACAAGTTATAGTTAAAACAAACAAGAGCGGGATAATTACTGAGGAAACGAATATTGACTTCAGTAAATCTGTAAAAACATGGTAGATTGTTACATGTGTTTCAAATGGCGATGTGTGTGTGTGTGTGTGTGGCAAGCTTAAAACACGCACGCACAGGCAATAAATCTCGTTTTATGTCTTAGCCATGTCATCTTGAAGGTCACAGCTGTTGATGATGGCTTCAGCTTCACATTTTAAATATATATGAACCAATTTCAATGTTTATTCACGTGATATTAATCTGTATCTTCGTTAATATATTTCTGGGAATTTTAGAAACAAATTTATATTTTATCTAAAAACTTTCCATCAGAGAGTTTACAAGTAATACTAACACGAACATTCACTTCACCGTATATACTGTACACATGATACAGTATTAATTATATTTTGAAATATAATTTGAAATATATATTACTATTTTTTAGAAGACTTTATAAATGACAACGATATAATAAGTTTTGTTATATCTTTTGTCGTTTAAAATAGCCAAAACAGTTTTGTATGTCTACCATAACAATTTCTCGCTGAGCTTACGCTATGTTTACTTACTACAATATTGCTATTCGTGTATGGTATAGTTTACGAAAGTCAAGATGCTCTCACAGCGTGTGACAGCAACTTAAAGATTAACTTGTTGCTTAAAACTTTAAAAATCAAAGAATGGTGATGTGCCGTGATGACTACCACCATCATTCTGGCGCCAAGGTCTTCATTTAGGATAGTAAAGTATATGGGTCGTAATTACTAGTATTTAATTGGTGTCATTAAAGTAAAGGGTAAATTTTTGTTAATTATCACACTTTAATCTAGGTAATTCTCCACGGGTTTCATCTTGCAGTGGCAGTTTATGTTTAGTTACCATAAAAGGACAAAAATAATGTGACGCATCACCGTAGTCCTGTGGTTCGTGTTTTAACATTGATAAAGAAAATGTAAAAAAAAAAAATAATAATATATAGGCAACGACACCTCCAGGGATTCGTCTGAGCAACCCTACTTGTCCTGCCGCAGAGTCAAGCAGTCGAAAAATGTTTGTTCAGTTGTACTCAATATGTTCATTGTTCACTTTGTTACGTCCTGGAGTCATTTATGAACTTGGTTCGTCTAGGGATTGATTTTAATATAAAGAATACCAAATACCCCAAGTCATAGTATATAAAACCAATCAAGTTCTGTTGAATTGTTCCGAAAATTATCTCCGTTGAGCATTAGACTTATGAAGTAAAGAATTGATCAACCAAATTAGTTGGGCTGCTGATTCAGATTTAGGGTAGGTGATCAGGGCAGCGCAGAAGCGAAATTATCATAACATCGAGTGGACAAATGAAGAGAGAAGATATTAACTATTAACAACAAACATGGAATTATTATGAACTAAACTAAAAATAAATCAGGAATGGTTCTGAATTTAACTTCTATCATCTTAGCTTTTAAATATAACTAACAGTAAGTGAGACAAGGACATAGGTATAACACTCGACATTGAATTGGGACCAAAACAACATGGGAGTGGGGTCCGACTTATGATTAGGGTGATACCTGATAAAAATAATGGTTCATAATACTGTACAATAAAGGTTTTGTGGAGATCTCCGTTAATACTCGGTTGGCTGCTCGGGTCTACAACAAACAAGTTCACAATCGACGCCTTGGTACATACTGACTGTTAAGCTAGCCGATTCTCCTTATATGGTCCCAAATACTGGCAGGGGAGCGGAGTTCAAGGTGTGTCAAGTTGGGTCAATCATGTGAATCGTGATCCTTGTCCAGCTAAAATTCTAGACTTCAACAAGCCGTAATTATAGGGAGACAATCGTGTGCTTGGTTTGGCCCGTCTTAACAGGCTCTTAATATAACACACGTGTTTATGTTGTGTGTGAGACAGGAAAAGTTCATGTTGGCTCTGGTGAACAAGTATCATATTTCTATTTACATCACACAATTGTCTCACATTAATTGACCCTCTGACCCTGCACACACACACACTGCCGGGGTCACAAGAGGTCAACATTGAACATGTCAACTCTTATTATACTCACTAATAAGCTCCGGCCTTGCTTTAAACACCGAAAACACTTGTTAAACACATGTGTTTAGGTCTGAAAACATTAATAAATCACTTATGACGTGGAGTTATCCTGGTTGAACTGCTGCGCGAATAATTAAAATAATAATAACAGAAACTTCTCTCTTCTTCCTTACTTTCTCCCCACCCTGTCTCCCTCACCCCCATCCTTCCTTACTCGTTCCTTCCTTCCATTCCTCCCTCTCTCCCATGCTCCAACCATGTGCCCAGGTCTCGCCAGTACTGTACTAAATCTCTTCTCCCACAGCACCATGTTGAGGAGGGGGGTGGATGTGGCCGGGCTGAAGAAAGAAGTACACAAACTCCGTAGTAGTCGTTTGGCGGTCATCCTGCTGGTGTACTTTGCCCTCGTGCTTGACAATATGCTCCTGACTGTTGTGGGTAAGCCTTGCTCCTACTTCACTGTTGGTAATATTTCTTATATAAGTAGCTTTTTGATATGCGGTAATAGATTTTAAGGCATTGCTTCAACCTTTTAACTCTTTTTTTTTTATGTTCAGTATTCTCAAGAGACATAGATATATTAATATTTTCTTTACGATTTCCCCTCTTTAAAACGATTGTGTGTGTGTGTGTGTGTGTGTCTGTGTGTGTGTGTGTGTTTATAGACAGTTTAGGGACTCATGAGTGTTGTGTTCCTGTCCACAGTTCCCATCATCCCCGACTACCTGTATCAACTGGAGCATCAACACATGTCTACGAACAAGTCCTCCTCCAACAACACCACAGCACCCAAGGCAGCTCTCCACACACCTCCACCTCGACTACCCACGTCACTTTCTCACCACGACCCTGCCTCTTCCCTCCACGACCCTGCCTCTTCCCTCCACGACCCTGCCTCTTCTCTCCACGACTCTGCCTCTTCCCTCCACGACCCTGCCTCTTCTCTCCACGACTCTGCCTCTTCCCTCCACGACCCTGCCTCTTCCCTCCACGACCCTGCCTCTTCTCTCCACGACCCTGCCTCTTTTCTCCACGACCCTGCCTCTTCCTCCTCTCGTCTCCAAGAGCCTCCAGTCACCACACCCGGAGCTCATCAACAAACCAGGCAACTCACATTTCGCTCAAAAATACAAGAGGATGAATTACCGTCAGTTTCGATGGTGAAAGTCCAGCCAAATGACAAGTTTTCTGGAGTACTTTACCAACATAATGTACAGGATGAGTCACCTTCGTCTCCACTCCTGCGTGTTCCCAGTAAAAAAGCTCTCGTGGTGGGTGCTCATGCTTTATATAGGAGTAGAACTTTCAGGTCACTTCCTGCTCAAGCTTCACACCACAGGAAGTATCCAAGAAGCAACTTGAAGAAAGTTTACTCTGATTTTATGCATGTAAGAAGTCCGTGGATGGAAATTGACGAGCGTGTGGGTGACTCAGAGACACTCGTTAACTTTCAGAGGAATAGAAAGAAAGAGAGGAGATTAAGTGATATGGGAATAAGAGATCTAATTAAAAATCCCTTAGAGAACAGTTTCCCCTCATCCACACGTCTTCCCATACAACATTACCAGCATCCAGAGGACGTATCACACCACCTTCCTCAAGACACAAACACTGCCCAAGACCCAGATACTGACTCAGGAGTTATACCCACTAATCGTTCACCACCAGACAAATTGGAAAATATGTCAGATTTACAACACTATCCAGATGAGATGGAAAATTTGCCACAGTTGATGGGAAAAATTCCTCAGTCTCTTAAACATCTTCCTTCGGCAACCACGAGTGAGTCATTCCTCCAGGACTCACGAGTCTTTGAGTCAGAGTCACACCAGGAAGAGTATCAGCGTCCACAGCCAGTGATCGAGGCTAACTCGTCGGCTTCATCAACAGAGGATCTAAAGCTTCCACAAGATATCATCAATGAGAACGGGCGCGTAGGACTGCTCTTCTCGTCCAAGGCGTTGGTGCAGTTGTTGGTGAACCCTCTAGTGGGGCCTCTCACGGCTCATGTGGGCTACTCCCTCCCTCTGGTCATTGGAACCCACAACCTTATTCTCTCAGCTCTTTGTAAGTACTGTACCTTCACTCACACAGTTATTGGCAAGAAAGTCTATTTACTTATGAATATACTAATAACTACACGTGCACTGGATCTGTTTATGAATCTATACTGGACCAAAGTATTTATCTCTGCACATCTCTCGTCACGTTCCCCGGCAGTGTTCGCCTACGCCCAGAGCTACACCTTGATGTTCATCGCCAGGAGCCTCCAGGGCATCGCCTCCTCCTGCATCGCCATCTCCGGTATGACTTAATTATTTTTTTCTTCTTTAACGGGAAATATGTAATGTAATGTAATGTATGTATGTATGTATGTATGTATGTATGTATGTGTGTGTGTGTGTGTGTGTCTGTACCCTGTATGTATGTATGTATTGCACAATAATCTCATAGTTTATGTTACCGAGGTGGCAGGTAGAGGTAGGTACAATATAGTGTTACGATATATACCGCTGTGATGGTAAGGTTGCAGGCCTCATACTCCCGGCAGGCATGGGTATCATTGCTGAGTGTTACCCTGAGGACGGGGAGCGCGGGCGTATGCAGGGTCTGGTGATGGGCGGCATCGCTCTCGGCGTATTGCTGGGCTACCCTCTAGGCAGCCTCCTCTACGACTTCACCAACTCCAAGACACCGCCCTTCTTGGTCGTGGTGGCCCTCACTGCTGTCCTCGCAAGTGTGTTGTTTGGTGCACACACACACAATACGATTCCAATAATTGTTTCCTGATATAACTATTATAAAGTAGTCTGTAAGACACTCTGATACAATAAATTCTTCTTCTTACATTGTATACGAAAGTGTAGGTATATTGATATTATGTGTTATGGGGTGTGTGGTGAAGGTGTTCTCCCTGAGCTGGTTGTTCTCCTCCACAGTCGTACAGCTGGTGGTCCTCGACCCTCGTCCCGTGCCAGAGGTAAAACAGGGAACCTTTCACACCTCTCTTACCTTCACCCCCCCCTATCATCACTACCCCTTCCACCATTACCACCTCCTCACCATCACCACCTCCTCACCACCTCCCCTATATGTAATCGTTGGTTATGCGAATCGGCGGTTAATGGGGCATCGGTTTTCGGGGTATACTTGTACTGTACATTATAGGAAACAATGGCTTCTTTCGTGTTCGTCTTTCAATAAAGGTTCCTTGACAGGCAAGTAACTGTTCTTTTTGTTTTGTTTTGTGGAAATGTGCTGCATTGGTGTTGGAACTGTGCTGCATCACTGGGTGGAAGTATGCTGTACCACTGGGTGGAACTGTGCTGTGCTACATCACTGAGTGGAACCATGTTGCATCTCTGGGTGGAACTGTGCTGTATCACTGAGGGGTCATTGTATACCTGCATTGTACAGTATCTCAAAAAAAGTATCTGTTCACACACTGTGTGAAACATTATGATACCACGGATGATAGATATCGGGACATGCATTTACTTTGGTATATATACCCTGTAGTTTAACATAAGTAATATAATGTGTATTTATTTTGGTGTAAGTAATATGATGTTCTGTTACAAAATGTAGTAAGATCAGTATGCCACAGAGCCACGCATACCAACCCTCCTGGGACATCAATAGTTGCATGTAGCATTTCAGAAGTCATTGGATCCATCCTGGCAGATACTTTTTTGAGATACTGCATGTTTAACTAACTGTAAACTTGCATGTCGATTTTACTGAATATCTACCTATCTATGGACAGCGTGTAGTGGTGACGACGTCGCTGCTTGGCCTGGTGAAAGACCCCTACATCCTGGTGACCGCCGGAGCTGTTATGTTCAGCACCTCTGCAATGGCTGTGCTTGAACCCTGCCTCCCTATATGGCTGACCGACACCCTCCACCCCCAGGTCAGCTATGTTTCAGTATACACCTAACTGATACTGACTGATAGTTCTACGACAGGTAGTAGATGGATGAAGATTGAATACAAAAACTAACACTGTAGAATGAGATTTCTTTAGAGTGTAACATTTGCTTGTTATTCAGGAAAGGTCTCTCACATACTATACATAGTTCATAAGTTCTCTCAGTCATGATGGAAAGAATGAGTTACAATTTACCTGCAGTGAGTTACGTAGGATTCCTTTGGCAGAAGTGGCAGCTGGGTACGGCGTTCATCCCTGACAGTATTGGCTACTTGGTAGGGACCAGTTGTACTGCGGGTCCCGCCTTCCGACTAGGACGGTGGAGGGTCGCCGTGGTGGCCATGGTGGTGGTGGGTCTGGCTGCTGCCACAGTTAGTATCTCTTCAACTTTTGGCTATATAATGTCAACTTTTGGCTATATAATGTCAACTTTTGGCTATATAATGTCAACTTTTGGCTATATAATGTCAACTTTTGGTTGTATAATGTCAACTTTTGGCTATATAATGTCAACTTTTGGCTATATAATGTCAGAAATGTAACATGAAAAATAAATAATGCAGAGGAGAATCTGAATAGACTTTAAAATTTCAATCCCCCTTACACTTATGACCTCAAGTATATGCCAGATATTGTATTGCTAAAAATTTCCTGCCAATTTTGTTTGCATCTGTACATTAAAATGACTTATCAGTTTCCATATCTCAATACTCACTTTTAGTTTAAAAAAAATCAAGTTTTCAGGTGGTGGGAGAGATCAAGTGCCCCGAGTAATGTTTGTATGCATGTGTTTGTACATACTGGAAGGGGAGAGATCAGTGTGGTGTTGCAGGTACCAGAAGCGGGGTCGATGTTGGCACTGGCAGGGCCACACCTGTGTCTGGGTATGGGTGTGGGCACAGTGGATGCTGCTCTCATGCCATTACTGGCCGCGCTGGTCGACGCCAGACATGTGGCCGCCTATGGTGCCGTGTACGCCATCGCTCAGGCCGCCGTCGCTCTAGCGTACTTCCTTGGTAAGTTTCTCTTATTTTTATTATTATTCTGTTTCTGATTTTCCCGTTATAATAAAAAAGTAATGTCAATAATACACACAAACTCGTGTGTGTGTACGTGTGTTACAGTGAAAGTGTGTCCTTCAGAATAACTTCTCGTTAGGTATAAGTTTGGATACATCACACTGTATACTGAGCCTTCGGTACACAAAGAGGCAGCATGGCTGGTACTGTACTCTACCGCCTTCACTTTCCCCAAGTTGTAAACTTAGGTACCCATTATCTGCTGGGTGAACTTAGGGGGCCCGAGAATCGAACCACCGACTTTTGTCTTATCTAACCTACTTGATGTATATAATTTAGCTATCTTACGATGATAAATCTCACCTTAAACGAAACAGCAAAATTTTACCATATATATATATAAATCGAACTAATCGAACTAATTGGGGCAGACCCCAGTCTGAAAAAAAGTGAATATATGGGGGAGGTTAAGATAACACTGCTTATCTGAACTGTTTAAAGAAAATCAGTTTTTGTTGTTATTACTGCACTTCAACAACTAAGGTCTTTAAGTGTATAACAAGGTTATTAAAAGACTATTACAGAATAAAAGATATGAAACAGACATAATAATAATAATAGTGGTTGCCCTCGTGTAACGAGGTTGGCCGGCCCAAGGGCCACCTAGGCGTGAATTTGTTTAAGATGTAGAAGCTGAAGCCAACACAACAACCACACCCTGAGTTAATGAGTTGCATGACCCAGTGTCAAGGAATAGTCCGAGAAGACCGGACAACTCGCCAACATACAGGTCCCCAATTACTGCTGGGTAGACAGAGGCAAATGGCGTAAAGAAACTTGCCCATAGTTTCAACAACTGTTGTCACCGAGATGATTGTTACACACTGTATACTGTACAGTACTATAAAGATAAAAATAATAACAAATAAGTGTAGGGGTATATTGTATGAGGAAGACGAGTGTGTATCTGGGAGCAGCAGGCTGAGGAGAGGGAAGGGGGAAGAGGGCCGGTGGGTGGCACCCTTCCCCTCTCTCCTCCTATAACATGTTTTTATGCAATTCCACCACAGTTCTCATATCATTTAGGTTCATTTGGTACCAGGTTGATAAAATATTATCATAAAATAATCAACTTAATTGAAAAAAGAATCCCACACTCAACACGATGAATCATCTGTTCACAAAGGGCAAACAGCTGACAGGTTTACCACAACGTTTGTCTTCAACACATAGTAAATTAGTACAGTACATTACAGTAAAGTAGTGTATTTATCATCACTTAATAAATACTATTGTAGTGTATTTATCACCATTTAGTAAATACTATTGTAGTGCATTTATCATCACTAATAAGTAATATTGTAGTGTACGTACATTGTACACTAAACTATGTAGTATTTTGTATTTGCCTATACCTTGGTTTATTCATTAATCAGTTGTCTAAGTGTACCAGTAGCCAAATTGAGCCATCATGTATCACTTAAAGGTAGTAAAGAACATTGTTAGGAAGGAATCTTCATATCAATTACTAGTGTGTTATAGTGACCATGTTGTAAGCTAGTCTGCTAAAAGCTGTCACAAGAACACATCCTTAGTGAATAACTTCCAATACAGCTTATCCTTTTATTTTTAAAGTCATATTACAAATTACTTATTGTTTTTTCTCTATTACTGAAAATTTTATATTAATTATTATTAACCATAAACCATAATAGACCAATCATATGAGTAATGAATTATTAAATAAATAAACCTGACGAATGCGGCAACACCCGATCAGCCCCAGCCTGCTTACATATTCAGTGACTTAGTTTTCGGTGGGCCTATAGCACATCTGATTAGACCACTGTACAGTATTCATTGAGTAAGTGTTGTTCTTTTCTTAAGATTTTTGTTTAATCTTCCCCATTTCTTAAAATATGCGCTAGTTGAAAAGGTTTAGGAGACCAATCATTCAAGGAATATTTTCCCTTAACTCCTTTAAAAAAAATTTGTTTTATTTAATTTTATTTACATACACACTCATTCCAATTCGAAAACTCACTTGTGCTCCTCGTGTATTTATGATATTCAACAACAACGAAATACATTCTACTTATACTGAGTGATATTGTGTGAGCATCATGGTGTGTATCTACATCCTCAGGGCCGCTGGTGGGGGGAGCCATAGTACAAGAGATAGGCTTCCCTTGGTTGATGCGCTGCGTCGCCATTCTCAACTTGTGCTATTGTCCTGTCCTCTTCTTCCTCAAGACTTTCGACCAGGAGATGGAAGAGACTCAGGTATGACTACAAGTTCTTATTAAAACATGGTACAGTTGGCCAGGTAATAATGTAAAGGTAAGGGGAGACGAGGAGTGGTAGGAGGGGGAGACCTCGTTTGAGTGACTGGTACAGGTGTATCATGCATTTGGAAGTGAAGTTTTTACGCTGTTAACAAATCATTTGCCTTTCCCTATAGAGTGCAGTACAGTATTAGTAAAAACAGCCCGAGAACGTTTAGAGTGGAGGACTGTGGTCGCCAACCCTCGGATATGAAGACTGTACTCTGATTGATTGATATTTATTGGGTCTCTGCGAGCTTATTTGGCCGACTGTACAACTAACTGCTTGGATACGTGCTCATTGATGGTATAATGGATCGTGCATTATATCCTCCTGTCCTGCCCATCGTTTGACCCAACCCACGCCTGGAATTTCTGGGTTTTCTTCTTAACTTTGTCGACCGCCGCATGGTTCATGTGTAGCGGTCTCCTTGTATTCCTAGAGGCACTGGGTTTGGTTTTGGGTATATATTTATCGATCAAATGGTTCACTTTACTAGCTATGATATTCAGCGTTGTGTCTGCGTTCTTATGCCTTAGTGAGTCAGGCTAGTCACTAGTGGATACCCCTCATCTCCTCCCTCATCCAGTCGTAATTTTCTTTGTAATATTTACACCTTGGCTTGGTTTTGTCGTGAACTGAGTAACAGTTGAATCTGAAGGATAACATTACATGGTGGCTGGTGCCAACTGGGGCTAGATGTTCCAGTTTGGCCACCATACCCTCCTTGTTTGTTATGATGATGTCCAGTGGCTTGGGCGTTTGCTTCCCTCTGTAATGCGTCGGGTCTTAACATGTTAGAACAGAAAATTATCTCAGAGTTTCTAAAAAGAGAGTAGCGGGGTTATTTAAGTCATTTGGCGAGAACTCATTTCGCCAGTCGATGTCGTCATAGTTAAAGTCCCCCATGAAAAGGAGGTGGCTAGGGTTGAGCATTGCTACATTGTCTATTAAGGCTCTTTAGTTCCTTTGGTTTGGTTAGCTACAGTTTGGGGATCTGTAGATACACCCGACAATAAGTAATTCTCCTCCCTTTAAATTAATTTTACACCACTTGGATTCTTCAAAAACATCCTCTCCCTTTACCCTCACCTGGCTGGCTCTAAGGTCTTGCCTGGCCTTGCAAATTTCTTGAGAAAGGTTCTTAAATAAGTTATATCCGTCAATACTAAACTCGCATCCCTCTGGGTCGATTCTCCTGTTCTTGTACAACAGTTCTACAACACCCACTACTGTATATCGGGTTGGTGTACCTTCAGTAGTGTTTCAAACTCCTCTCTCTTACCATGGAACGTGTCAGTATTAGTGTACATGACATTCAAGCCGGAATTTGTTCTCGGTAACGTCTCTGCTCTTGGTAGTAACTCAGGCCCCCCTCCATTCTCAGAAGCTGCTGCATTTGCTAAATGCACTGTATTTTGCAGGGTGTGGTTAGAAATGTCATTGTTTTCACGGCACTCACCTCCTCCTGGGTGGGAGGTGGAGAGGGTGTACCGCTGTCCCCTGGCTCTGTGCTGTCACTCTTGCTTCCATTACCCTTTCCCTGGATATAACCCACGTACACCTGTCCCCGTTCCTCCTCGGCTCTTCCCTCTTCTGCTTCAAGCCCTGCAGGAGCTTCTTGTGCTGTTCCTTCTGCATTACCATGCGATCTGGGTGAAAGAATACATTCCGAAATGCCTCGTTCCTCGCTAAGTTTTTTGCCTGCCGAATAACTTCCCATTTCTTCTCTTCACTCACGAGTGTAATCCTGAGGGGGAAAGGCTTGTCCCCCTGCTTTTGTCCCAGCCTCCTCACATCCTGAGGGGGAGGGGGGGGCATATTCAGAACCTCTCCAAAAACTATTACGTTGTTCCTGCGCTCGAAACGTTCCCGTTGTTCCTCCTCTCCCCTAGCCGTACGTCTGCTAGTTGCCATCTCTTCGACACACTTCTTCAGAGTCCCTAGCTGTTGTAAAACTTGTTCGGATCCTGCATTACTATCCGCCACCTTACGTGGTCCTGCTAAGGCCTGAGCATAACTCCTCTTCGCTACCACTTCCATTCTATCAGCTACTTCCTCAATCTTAGCAGGGATCTCTTTCCCAACTTGTTCTAGTTTGGCAACCAGCAAGGATCCAGCTTCATCTATTTTCGTCCCAAGAAAATCGTTCCCTTATGGCTTGCAATCGCCTCTTTCACTTTAACTGTGCAGTCTGGGCAATACCAGTAACAGCCTTCATGCTTTACCGCATTCTGTAACGTCCTAAACGCTGAATTGCTCAGACCCGCACAATCTATATCTGCCGTCACCCTGCAGTAATTGCATGTCAACAGACTTCCTGGCGACACTTCAGCCCCTGATTCCTTACACCTCATGGCCGTTGTGGTGGGGGCGGCGTGCAGACTCTGTATGGATCTACTCAGCCTTAAGCCCATCAGTTTACCATGTGATGAATTTCTAATTGTCGGCTTAATAATAATAATAATAATAATAATAATAATATTGTTCTTTATTATTACTCTGATAAATGCTTCTAATCTGTGACCTGATAGCAGAGCTTTGGCTTCTAAGTCCATTAAAACAGGGGTGTCAAACTCATGGCCCGCGGGCCAAATGTGGCCCTTGAGATGGTCAGGTGTGGCCTGCGGGATGACGGTAAAATTTATCATCCCGTGAAATTATGAAAGAAATAGATATAATCATGTTTATTTAGTAAAATGAATTTTACATACTTAAGATCAGACAAACCCAAATGAGGTATTCCTGGTAAGCCAGGTAAGGCAATGTGTGAAGCTGTAAACTTCAATCCAGCAAATATGTGATATAGCACTTGTGTTGGCCCTGAAGAGGGTACCGTAACTAAAATAATAATTGGCCCTCGAAAGGTTTTGAGTTTGACACCACTGCTTTAAAAGCTCCGCTTCGCTGCCTGCGTATCTTGGCCGCCATGACTAGAGCCACCCACCGGGCTAGCAAACTTTGTTTTTATTTATTTATTTTATTTTTTTTACAGGCATTAGCCCACCCGGGCACAGGTCACTGACCCACATCGGGGCCTGGGGGGCGAAAATGTAATAATAATAATAATAATAATAATACTGTAATAATAATAATAATAATAATAATAATAATAATAATAATTCATAGTAAATAAAAATTATACAGTAATAAAAATACAAAATTAAAAATAAAATTATAAAGATAACAATAATAGGCTAATAATAATAATAATAATAAAGAACCATAAAGAAATACAAAAATAATAATCAAGAATGAGGAACAATATATGTACAGTATGTTGTGTTGTCAAAGTAAGAGAAGTAATTGAGACCCTGCAATTGTGTGTAATTGAGGCACTTAATTTCTTCTGTTGAAGAAATTTACCCCTCACTAGGATGACTTCTTTAATCACATCTACTAGATGAAGTATAAGTGAAGTGGGATGTGGGAGTGATCATGCCCTTGTGGCACCATTACCAGTGTGAATAAACGAGGGACATGAATGCAGGTTTCTCTCCAGTAATCCTTTTTATTACATTCACAAACAAATGTGTAGGTTGCCGAGATCATATTAAATTGTTTAAATTGAAAAGGTTAGTACATTTTTCAATGAGAAGGTGCACATGGGAAGGCACACAATTGGATAAGTCGTTGATGTACAGTACAAGCCAGGCGAGAAATACTGTGACACGTGTAAACAATGTGTGTACAGTAGTACCTCCAATGCACATATTGTTTACATGTGTATGTTGTGTATTATGTATGATGTATGTTGTGTAATATGCAAGTTGTGTAATGTGTAAGATGGTAAACAGTCTTTAGTTTAAATTTCAAGAACTCTAGGAACATTTGTAACACATAAAATACTGTACAAGTATTAGTAAAGCAATTCTTAAAATATTTGTTATACATATTTTCAATTTTAGAAAAGGATTTTTAATTCAAATGTTATTATTTAATGTATTCAGTGTTGTTAATCATATTGGTTAAGAAATTAATAACTTGTTCTTATCTAAAATGTTAATACAGTGTATTATATTTTATGACTTACAGGCCATCCTGATGGCCGCCCCAAAGCCTCATCACTACACCAGCCACATCACAACGGTGGTGCAGCCCCGAAAATCTTCACTCAGGTACCAGCAACTGTTTGATGACGAGGACGACTAACTGGTTACACACCGAGTAGCTGCTGCTGTGTGACTACGACAGCTGCTGACTCGCATCCAACATGCTCGGCAATCTGCTGAATTGGAAAAAAAAAATGGTTTCTTTATGATAAGAAGTAATGTGAAGATCATTTGTATTTTGAAGAACAAGAAAATGTGTCATTATTTTTTATTATATTTTACCAGATGCTCCCAAATTATCATAATACAGTATTACGAAAAATGTTCTATGCAAGACAAAATAGCTGTGTTAGTGCCTGTGGGTTTTACTTCTCTTCTACTAATTTACTTACAGTATTTGTTATTTAGTAAGGGGGAGACGGGACGTGACTTGTTCTGTGGACGGGATGCAAAATGTAATGTAGTGCACCGGGTGGCCGTGTAGTGGTGTGGGGTAGCTGACAAAAGTGAACCTTATTACATCACCATCGTTAGAGCGGAATATCAAAGATGGAGAGATTGTAAATTGGAGGATATCTGTACATTATTTAAATGTATTTTACTTAATGTGATATTAATAATTAAGTTTCTTTTTTACATTTGCCTGCAAATTTATACCTATTGAAATATCAGAATTTCAAATACTGTACGTGGGTTTTGAGTAATTATGATTAAAGTTGTTTGAAGAGATGAATTAGCTCCTAGTCTAGATTTTTTACCACTTTTTTCTTCATTACTCCAGTGTTGTGTACTTAGCTGTGCCCATTTTCTTTTCAGAATATGATAAACTTTCCTGTCAAAAAAGAATAGTTCCTCATGTGCTTGTTCGTTTTATATGGAGTATGAACACAGGGCTTCCTCATTTGATTTATATAATATTTATAGCTCAACTGTATTCGTCGCATTAACAAACTGTTGACTGTACTGTACAATCGTTTTCTTTACATAGAAAATTATGTTTCGTTGTGTTCTTCTGAAAACTTACATCTGTGTACTGTATGTCTTATTTAAATGTTGATTGCATGTTCTTGTCTGTTTCATTAATAGATTACTGTATGTGCAGTGAAGTTGTGCTACACTCCTTTAGGAAGCTCTGCAGTGATGTTACTGTTAAAGGCCTCTTCAGCACTGTTTTGAACCTAAGTGTTAACATAAACCTATTTACTCCATAAAAGGTCACATTATTATCCATACATGGTACCCCACCCCCCCTCTGGTCTGGAAAACTAATTTTTTTGTGTTATAGCCCAAACACCCCCAAAATGACCTAAGAAAACAAGAAATACTAGTAAAAGTGGCAACTCGCCTTGTTTAAAGTGCTGCGCGGCTTTTCAATCTTGGACTGGTGAAGTATATATTGTGAAAAAAGTAAAAGAAATAATTGCCCTAAGGGCAAACGCATAAAGGGAATATATACATTTCTTTGCACACGAGTTAGCTGACTCAATGAGGGAGGGAAGGGTGCAGAGATTAGGGCAGTGGTCTCTAACCTGCGTCTGTCGTGTACAGGACATGTGAATTTACCCCAGACCGGACCTAAAGAGAGAGCCAGCCTCTCACTAAAAGGAAATAATATAAATAGATAGATAGCCACCTCCTTATCATGGGGGGTCTTTAACTATGGCGACATGGACTGGATAAATGAGTTCACGCCAAATGACTTAAATAACCCCGTTACTCTTTTTGTAGAAACTCTGAGAGATAGTTTTCTGTTTCAATATGTTAACGACCCGCCGTAATACAGAGGGAAGCAAACACCCAAGCCACTGGACCTCATCATAACAAACGAGAAGGGTATGGTGGCCAAACTGGAACATCTAGCCCCAATTGGCACCAGCCACCATGTAATGTTATCCTTCAGATTCAACTGTTACTCAGTTCACGACAAAACCAAGCCAAGGTGTAAATATTACAATGAAAATTATGACGAGATGAGGGGTATCCACTAGTGACTAGCCTGACTCACTAAGGCATAAGAACGCAGACACTACGCTGAATATAAAAGCTAGTAAAGTGAACCATTTGATCGATAAATATATACCCAAAACCAAACCCAGTGCCTCTAGGAATACAAGGAGACCGCTACACATGAACCATGCAGCGGTTGACAAAGTTAAGAAGAAAACCCAGTAGTAATTCCAGGCGTAGGTTAGGTTAAACGATGAGCAAAACAGGAGGATGTATGCAAGATCCAGGAACCAAGCAAAGTCAGAGTGTAGAAGGGCTGAAATGGAGTTCCAGGGGCCGGTTGCAAGCGAGGTCAAGTCAAACCCAAAGGCATTTTACCGCTATGTAAAGTCGAAATTAAAAATGCGAGTAGGAGTATCGGACTTGAGGCTTGAAGATGGTAGTTACTCAAATTCTGACCAGGACAAAGCTGAGGCATTGAACAGTTTCTTTTCCTCGGTGTTCACAAGAGAGGGCGCGAACAATCTTCCTGCATTTGAGGACAGACGCTTCGACACAGCGCTGACCCACTTTGTGTTCAAAGAAGAGGTTATAAGAAATAATTTGTCAAAGCTAAAGGTTCATACGAAACCCGGCCCTGACATGGTGCATCCCAGAGTGCTAAGAGAGTTGTGCAACGAGCTTGCCAAGCCCCTGAAGGTCCTGTTCTGTAAATGCCTCGATGAGCACAAGGTCCCCAGTGATTGGAAAATGGCTTATGTGAGCCCCATCTTCAAGAAGGGCAATCCACGAATAACTATAGACCGGTGAGACGAACCAGCATAGTATGTAAAGTACTTGAGAGCATTATAAGAGATGCCATGATGGAACACCTACTACGCAACAACCTTGTAAATGATTGCCCACACGGTTTTGTCGGGGCGCTCCTGCTTAACACAATTACTCAAGGTACTGGATATTTGGACCCAAATTCTGGAACAGGGTGGTAATATTGACAATATATATCTAGATTTTGACAAGGCTTTCGACAGTGTACCCCATGAAAGGTTGAAAATTAAACTGGAATAGTACGGGATTCGGGGAAGTGTCCTAGCGTGGATCAGAGACTTTCTCCATGACCGCAAGCAGTGTGTGGTGATTAATGGCATGAAATCATTATGTGTACCCATCACAAGCAGAGTACCACAGGGCAGTGTATTGGGCCTGCAGTTGTTTGTTTGCTTCATAAATGACATGCCTGAAGCTGTACAGTCCTCCATACAAATGTTTGCGGATGACGCCAAGTTATTTCAGGAAATTAAGAACCTAGCAGACTATGAAGAGCTGCAGAAGGATCTCTGTGAGCTTCAAGAATGGTCGAATAAATGGCTGCTGAAATTCAATGTCACGAAGTGTAAGAGGCTGCACCTGGGACGTACCAACGGTAAGGAGGCATATCATATGTCCCGACAAGACGTAGAAACTGCATTAATTGAGACAATGTGAAAAGGACCTAGGTGTGTACGGTGACAATGAGCTGAAGTTCTCGGGCCATTGCGAGAAAAAGGTAAATGAGGCAACTAAATTATTAGGTCTTATAAGAAGGCCGCTCAGATATCTAGACGGATCCGTCCCTTTTAATGATCTTCAAGAGTGAAGTGCTTCCTCGTCTGATGTCCGAGATATGCTAGGGACTGTCAATTGATTGAAAATGTCCAAAGGAGGGCCACCAGACTGGTGCCTGCACTGCGGCACCTCAGCTACCTGGAAAAATTAGAACACCCGAAATTGCCGAGCTTATACTACAGACGGGCAAGGGGAGATCTAATTGAGGTGTACAAGCATCTCAAAGGTGCACTAATCAGTCTAATGCCCTTACCTGGGTCTGGCGGACACTCGCCCCACAAGGGGTCACAGCACAGGGTTGAAGAAACCGCAAACCCAGAAAATCGTGAGGGGTAACTTTTCGGAGTGAGAGTTGTGAACTCTTGGAACAATCTGCCAGAGAGTGTTGTGACGGCACCGAGTGTGAGCTCTTTCAATACCAGACTGGATAAGCACTGGAGCAGGTTCAGATACATTCAGGAGCCAGTGCATGCCCAATACTTGCCAACAGTGCACAGCAGAGATGTAACCGATCACCCAAGCAGCTAACGAGCCGATCAGTGATGAAGAGGATAAAAGTAAGTAAAAAGTAAAAGGTTGTCTTGGAGAGGGTATGCCTTTACAGTGGTTGCTGTCTAATCAATAATTACACTTTGAACTAAAAGCTATGGTTCCACTATATTGTTCAAGACCATTCTGCCATCTCTAATTCAGATCCTAGCCAACTAATCAGCGACTCCCAGGGAGTAGGAAGAGTGTTTCAGCTGCCTGGCTAAAGGATTTGTGAAAAAAATAGGGGATTTCAGGTTCAGTCCTCCACTTCTGACAAGGACCCTCTGCCAGGCAGCTCCTCAAAATCCAAAACCAAGTACAGAAGAGACGGTACACAAGGAGGTGTTACTAAAACCTTCAGAATTTGTCAGACATACTGATATATAACCCAAGTTTGTCAGACATACTGATATAACCCAAGTTTGTCAGACATACTGATATATAACCCAAGTTTTCCTAAAATCTGTCTCCTTCAAATCTGGAATGCAACGACAAGTCATCATTCCACTAAAACATTTCTAAACCACCTCAGCAGCAAAGAGTATCTCAGATTTGCAGCTGAAATAGGGGTACAGTAAAATTTTGACCCCCTCAATGAAAGGCACTCCATGTAGAAAAGTACTTCATTGACCAAATTACTGTACTCAACTTGACGTATAAGAATTGGTCACAGGTTCATGAATAATTTAATGATGCAAATTAGCAGTATGCACACCACATTCCCATACATAAGGTGAGAAAGACATAACAGGCATATTTGCTTCTCAACAAGCCTGGTTGCCCAATGGTCTTTCAACTTGGCTCATGTTTTTTCCCAATAACATGAGCCAGCTTACATCAGGAAAAAACACTGTATATTGGGTTAAGGCCTACTCCTAACACTGCAAAAAACTGCAAGTTAATGTACAGTACTATACAAGTACTATACTGTACCTGAGAAATTATACATTAAAGCATGGGCCTTCATTGCTAGCAACATTCAGGATACAGGCTAGCCCAGGCTTGGAATGATCAGTAAACAGTTAATAAACCTTATGACATGATAAATGTTTTACTGATAACACCAAGAGCTGTGGTAGTTGCTGCCAATAATTCCTATTTACTTTGTCTGCAGATGGTGCATGGCTAGGAACTAAATGAAAAATGGTGAATTGGTTTTCAACAAGATGGCAAAACTATATCCATTAGTGAAATGTGCTGATGATCATACATAGCTACTGCAAGGCCTCCTGCTTCTATAGGACAACTGTTGTACCTGATGATTTCTCCCCACCTGAAGGAGGTAGGGATGACCTATGTCTCCATTTGAGTTAATATATTACCTAGGCTATATAATAATCAAAGGCTGCCTAAGGGCACATAATATTCAAATTGGCAGCCTGTGTTGAAAGGAAGCCTGTTGGCAGAGGGCATTAACCAATATATGTCACGTTATTTTAAAAGTTCATGAAGTTTGTCATTATTCAAGTATTCACACACATAAAAAACTACCATGGTAACATGCCCATTCCCAAATTTGAACTTCATCTTCAGTCAAGACCTTCACCTTAGATAAAGACTACAATTTTACATTAACTCTTTAGAGGGCAATGTAGCCTTAGGTATTTTACTCTGGCTAGCACCAGATAAGTTTATTCAGCTGTGAGAAACCTCTGCCTGCCCCCTAAAGGGTTAAGTACTTTGTTTAGTGATGATACATATTCAATGAAGTTTCATCAAAATATTTATTGATACATAAGTTCTGCTCAAACATGGAAAAATTTACAGACACCCATACAGACAACAGACCCATACCATGTCTTATTATATTTTTTTTTAAGCAGCATAAAAAAGTAAATAAACATTAAAATCATTATGAATATGCGAAGAATAAAAACAGTATGGTGCTCATATCATCAATTCTACTTTTTAGGTGAAAACTTTCCCCCCAAATCCTAAATGATTGATACAAAATGTCCTACAGAATATTCTTGTCGATCCACTATTGAATGTTTGTGCATGCATGTGCATAAATGTGAATGCATGTATTGTATACCTGTATATGTACTGTATCTAAACCTTTGATTTCTGCACTCTTCTGGTTTGCAATTTCAATATACATGTACTCTGATGAACCAACTTGACCATAATTTTCCTTTCCAAGCCACCCTCTTTGCTAAATCATGTATAATGCCAGGAATTATGGACAATAAATGTAATACTGTACAAGTACTTTGATTTCCACAGAAAAATCTGTGTATTGAAAAACATGATGAAAAAATTTAGCCCCTGAATTAAAAAATGAGTAACAAATATAATGGGAATCTGTTTCTGTTGCGAGTTCTTATGTACTACAGGTATAATTGACCGAGCCAAGTGGTGAAGTGTGTGTGTGTTCTCAAGCACTGGAACTTGTCAAACCACCTACGTAGTTTATTGGCTCTTGTACCAGTATGGCGAGTGTTCCCAAGGAATCTATCTATTAAACTTCTCAAAAATAGTTTTTATTGTGCAGTATTTATTCTTTCAGTGTATCACGAATGTGTAAAAACAGATGTCATTACAAATATCACATACACAAAAATATCAATGAAAATGCATTGAGGGATGGGAGACCAACATAAGCACAAGTGATAACATAAGAATGATTAACAAATAAAGTCACCTTGTGCCTTAAGGCATGGTGGTCCAACTTTGTCCTAAAACCAAGAGTTTGGTATATTTATATTGTCCAATTCGAAATATACATATAGTTTGGTCATTCAAAATCTTTACTATAATGGGGTATTTGGGGTTTCTGATTGTTAATATCATGAGATGAGTGAGGGAGAGAAGATAAAAATTTAAAGCCTGGATCACATCCCATTTTCCAGAGATCTTTTCCCTTGCAGAAGTCAAGGGTTTATTGTGTGTGTTTTGTGTAGCTTCTTGGTCCTTGTCTTTCTTTACAGTTATATATTATAATCTACATTATATGTAGTGCACCAAGTGACTGTGGGTAATTTTGTACTATGTGTTGTTGTTGGAGTGGGAGAGAGTAATTTCTAAGCAATGCCAACAGGGCATAGCAGTGGCCACATAGACTGCTGTACATTCACAAATGTAAACAATTAGTTGATACTGAGAGGTGAAATGAGTTTTACTGTACATCAAAATAGAATAAATGATTAATAAATTTGCACCTTGACATCATTAAGGACCAATGAGTGAGCAATGACTGTCTCTAACTTTCATCATCCCTCCACTCTATTTAAAACCTATTAATTCTTTTAACTACTGCATTATCATTGACTTACATAAACCTAAAAAACAAAACATGATTATTGTAAAAAATATTTTTCTATTTACTAGAATAATATCAAGTCTCACTCTTCATGTAAACTTTACCAATATATTTTTTACCGCACTTGGTGTATTCATAAGGATTGATGACTTGAAAATTATATCTGTTCATCCAGTAAACCATTCACACTTATGACTAAATAGATAGACTGAAGAATAAGGGCTGGATTCATATTTGGGATAACTTGCCTAAATCTTACCTGATATCATGTCAAACTAACTACCATATCAAAATAAATTTTAACAGTTGGTGGTACAAAAAAAAAAACACCCAAATTCTTCCATAGTTAACATTCACAATATACTGACCTGTCCAGCTTGCAGTCACTTTACACACCAATGACTATGCACATAACAAAATGTTAAACGACACATTTTATTCATCAGGCAATTGGTAAAAAAAGCACTTAAAAAAGGTACACTATCAAAATCTCTGAATCATTCCTTTTTCCCTTATGTCAAAGGTTTTAATGAACTACTGGAGAGAAAAAAGAAAAGACTGGTAACATTTTCAAACCTTGTATCCGAGGACATGTACAGTTGCGGACAAATGAGCCAAGCCCATCTAGTCCATCATCGCAATTGGTAATAGTCACATGTATTTGTGGATTTTCACCAAGGCGTTCATTCACCTGGCTGCCAGGTTGAAGCAAACCTCAATATTTGTCTCATTAAGAGTGGTCGTAACTGGTGAGACGTGTTGCCAAACTAAGGTCTCAAGAGTAGGTAGATGCTTCCACTAGTCACATATGAACTGCCAGCAAGAGCATACAGGAAAGCATTGAATTACAAATATCCAACTTACAACAATTCATATCTAAATCCCTGGTTAATTTAGGACCTGATTCAATTTGCATCATTATTCTATTCGTATTTACTTTGAAAATAGACGAATAAAAGTAAAATAAAATTACATTTCCAAATCAATATATAATATTCTGTACAATACAGTATTGTAAAACAAAAAACTTGAGCAAGGACTTTTCAACCTACTGGGCTGGTGATGTCACTGACATAACCAGTCACTGCTCGGCGAACTTTTCGTTTCCACGTGTCTGAACCGGATCAAGATAAAAAAAACTTTCTCATACATTTTACGTCATTTTTGGCCCACCATTAAACATAAGCAAGAGAGTAGGTAATGGTAAATTGGTTCAAAGGCTGAGAGAGAGAACCTGACGATTAGACACTTCATCGTCATCTGAGTAAAAACTCAGAAAACAACATTTGTAAAGACGGGTGATGTTCACAGACCTTCTGTTCCACTTTTCCCTGGTAAAATTCATTGTTAGAGGAGAAATGATACCAGATAAGTTAGAGTACTATCTTATCACATTGTTTAGAGAATTACTTACATCTTAAAATATAGAACTGTACTAAACATGTCAAGGAAATATTTTGGTTGAGATTTGATAGGTACAGTGAATTCTTGATAATTCACGAAATACAAATTTGTGTTCTTAGCTTCATAGTTATCTCTATTACTATCTCTTTCATATATATATATATATATATATATATATATATCACCATAAAATATTCATAATTCGTGGCAAGTGCCAACTGCCAGAGTCTGCTTACATAAGAAACCATAAAAGTTGTGGAAATAAAATTCCATTGTCCTAATTTGCCTTGGAAAGAAAGAAAATATAATGAGTGAAAGCATTTCATAGACAAGAGTGAAAGCGCTTCACAGACACTAAAACAGGGAAACTACTTCACAGTTAGAGTGAAAGCACCTCACAGTAACTAAAACAATACAACATGAACTTTATTGATGTCCTCTCACTGTAAAAAAAAAGAAGAAAAAAGGATAATGACCAATAAACACTCAGGTCCATTCCTTACATATACAGCCTGGATTGTAGTTCACCAGATGGCCATGAGGCAGCATTCAGGTAGATGAAGTGAATGATACGTTCCATATTCCGAGTTGGTGGGATGATGGATATCGTTAATGCAGGTTTGTTATTTTGCAAATAGGGAAGTGGTCTTAATATATCAACATCGGTAATGCAGATTATCGAAGATGGGGACATCGTAAATAAAGGTTTACTTGTACATTAATTAACAAGTTAATAGTAAAAGATTCGTAGATCCATTAAGTGAGTAAAAATAATAAAATCACTCAGAAATTGCATACATTTAACATTATTAAAGTAAAAATATTTTGTTTATATAATAATTTTAAAATTATACCTTTTTCATCACATATATCTTGTGCAAATTTATTTACATACCACTCACAGCCATGTTGAAAGAGGCAAATATCGAGGTTTGCTTCGCCACAGCTGCAGTGAAAATCCATTACTACACGTGACTGTTACCAAATGTGATGAACACCCCACCACTGTGATGGACTAAGTGGACTCAACTCATTTGTCTGAAACTGCATATCAAATAATGATGTAAACAAATACTTTAATTTACAGTGCATGTATTTACTGATGCCTGTGGTTTATACTCTTTCCTTCCACAACAATTCAAATCACATTTAAACTTTCTGTTAGAATCGAGTACGTATGTAAACACTGGAGACATCATGTTCTCCATAACCAAGTCGTTTTGCATGTTTGAAAACTTCATTGGTAGCAGCAGTGAGTGGTAAAGGTAGTTCCAATGTGTCTCCCATTAGCATCCCAAGACGGAGATCTTTCTGCATGTGCTGAAGTGGCAGGTGTGTGGGGAATCCTCCTTCAATAATAGCTGTGAAGAAAAAACTCTTTTAGATACAGTATTGCACACATCCAATGCATCTAAAATATTACCACTGATGACAATTCTACAGTAATGTAATTCCTTACTAATGAGTTCACCACCTACATTTTTTAGTATCTATGTTTTATATACAGTATTGTACAGCAGCATCTGCTTAACATACAACCGCAGATACTGTACTTTGATTTTATTATGGTAACATATGTCCAATGTTATATACATACATTCACTGATATGTACATTGTACCTGTGCTGAACCTGTCCACCACCAATGCACTCTCTGACACTTCACTTGCTGCACATGCTTTGTTTTGGTAGTACGTATCACTTGAGATGTGGCCACAGCTGATTGTGTTTATAGTGTATTTTGTATTGTGAATAAACTTTTCGTTATAGCCTACAGTACAATGAGCAAAAATAATAAAATACACGCCATTTCTTTTGATGAGAAAATTTGGATTAATGAGTGAGCTGAGGGGTGAGAGTACGGCGTAGAATAGTCATGGACTTAGTTTGGCCCGTTCAACAATAAATACCATTGTGAAAGGTAAAGAACAAATTATGAAACATGTGAAGAATGGTTTTGGTAGTGAGAAAATGGATAAAATAATTTTAAATAAGAAACTGAGAAATTATCAGAATATTCTTTAAAGCTGCCAGGAATCACTGAAGAGATAAAATTAGCATATGTTGTTGGTACAGTTGCAAAAATGTACTTCTACACCCCCTGTGGTAACCTGTGTCTCCAAATGGGAACACCACAGTAGTAGTAACACTATTTATGAATGAATGGGTATTGATCGTGTACAGGTTAGCACATTTCCACAACTGTACCATCCATGAGTTCCTAAGTGTGGCAGTGGTGACTACAACTCACATACATATTTTCATTACATGTATTATATTACTTATTATTTGTGCTTATATAAATGGTGTGTGTGTGTGGAAAGGAAATTACTATTATATTACACACAACAATGACCCTTTTTGAGGCAGAAGAAGTAAAAGAGAGATGGGTAGAGTATGTAGAAAACTGTACAATAATATGGTATAGAAATTAAAAATAAATAATGATCAAACAACCAATTCTGTAATCAGAATTTGGGGCAGCTGTGAGCAAAACGAAAAATGATAAAGCTTGTGGGGTTGATCAGCTTTGAGCAGAATTTATAAAACAAATGGGCAAGAATGGGATCAATGTGTGACTAAAATAGCTAATTCTACATACAGTCGACCCTTGCCATTCCTGAGGGATACGTTTCAAGAAATGACACGAAGTGGCAAAAACCGCGAATAGCAACTGTATACTACCTTAGTGCACTACTGTATATCTATACCAAACAACTGACCAACCGCAGCAGCACTCATCCCCTCTTTTAACTTATCTAATAATAAAACTTTCTTTGTCAAGGTCATCACTGACTTCTGTCTTTTACATTTTATTCCACTAGCACTGACACTAGGCAGCCTTTTAGGGTCCATTTCACACAGAAGCACTAAAGTTTTGAGAGCACAACACGAGATGCTGCGTTAGGTGATTCGATGTGCTGCGGGAAAAGGCTTGCAAGCTAACCACCATAGCCACCATCTGCTTATCACGAATCGTCAAAATCGTGAATCACAAACTCTCGAATGGCAAGGGTCTACTGTATTCTATTTCAAAGGAAACCTTCCCAGTGATTTAAAAGATTCAATATTTGTATTATTACCTAAAAAGCCAGGAGCCTTAGAGTGCACCCAGTTTAGACCAATTAGCTTAATAAGTAATGCCTGCAAAGTTTTATAAAAAATAATTTTAAGTAGAATTAAATTTAGTGAGTTATCTGAAGATCAAAATGAATTTAGATAGGGAAAAGGAACTAGAGAAACTATATTTGGTTTGAGAATTTTGAGTGAAAGGGCTTTAGAGGTCCAAAGAAATTTGTATACTGTATCTGCTTTGTTGATTTTGAAAAAGCCTTTGATAAGGTAAAACACGATAAACTTATAGAGGTACGAGTAATGAAAAAATAGACATTAATGAAGGAGATATTAGAATTCAAAATTTTTTTTACTAGCAACAGGAGGCTGCAGTGTTAGTAAATGAACTTAATTGGTTCACAGTAAGAGAGGGAGTAAGACAATGTTGTGTTCTTCTCCAAAATTGTATAATATATATTTGGAATTATTAATGAGAAAAGTTATATGTGATAATGAAGGAATAAAAGTTAATGGTAAAGTTATATCAAATATACACAATGCAGATGATACTGCTCTTATCCCCGATAGTGAAGAGGTTTACAAAATTTGGTGAACAGATTAGTAGAAACAGGTGACAAATAAGGGTTAAAAGATAACACAACAGGGAACTTAAACAAGTGGGAAAAATTTGAATATTTGGGAAATAACATTAGCTTTGATAGTAATTGTGCAGAAATCATAAGAATAGATTAAGCAAAAACAGTCTTTAACAATCTAAAAAACTTAACAAAAAGGGACATTAAATTCAATTTGATATAAAGTTGCTGAAAGGCTACATGCAAGGACGACTGTATGGGTCAGATGCATGGATAGTTTCAGCAGACACCAGTAAGAGGTTAGCGGCCTTTGAAATGTGGTGTTCAGTATAGGTGATTGTTAAGAATAAGTTACACTGACAGGAAAACAAATGAAGATGTACTAAGGTTAGCAAAAACTTCAAGAGGAATAGTTGAAAAGTACAGAAAAAGAAAAATCAGATACTTTGGTCATATAATTAAACATGAGGGGTTTAATACTGTAGTAGAAATAATATTGGGCAAAGTTGAGGATAGAATGGCCAGGGGAAGGCAGAGGCTGGGACAGATGAATGAAATAAAGAGCTGGGTCCCCAGAGAGATACCAAATCTTGGAGGATTGGTAAAAACAACCCAAAAACGTTTAGAGTAGACTGTGGTTGCCAACCCTCAGTACTCTGATTGATGCAAAACAATTATGACATGATCAGAAGATTTCCAGAATTGCACATTCATTGGGATAACACACCCCTTTACTTATTCTGTATTGGTTTACAAAGTCAGTGTTAGGATGAGCTACACTCAACATTGCACCCTCCATCAGTCTACAAGGGCATGTGAGAGGACCCACGCCTTTTCTACTGAAATTCCATTCTGCTAAGCCTTAGACCCCACATGAGTACTCCCTGTCACAACCACTTTTTTTTATATCATCTAACTTCTAATACTGAACAATGGTTCAAATCATGCTTCAAATGTCTTTGGTAAGGGGATGCCTTGGTGAATTGACCTGACAATACTTGCGTGATCTCTCCCTGTACTTTTTGTTAAGAATAGTCATTAATGGCAGTGCAATGCATCTATATAGGCAATGAAACAAAGTATTATAGGATCATAAATCATGATTCAGAGTTCTTTCCAGAGGGTGGAAACACATACCTTCAGAAATGCATCTTAGGTAAAAATTATGGAATCTCAATCTAGAGGCTCCAGTAGCAAAACTGTTATTCTGAAAAGACGGCGAATTCAAGAACAAAAGTTAAATTCCTTTTCATCTGTTACTTAAACGTCTAGAAACAAAAAATAATTGTGAAATTGAAACTTACCTTTGCCTTTCTCAATCATAAGTGGACAAGCCAGTGAGGTTAGTTCCATGATCTCCATAACATCTTTTTGTTGTAAACCTGCACGATCTGCTAAAGCCATTCCTTCTGCTAGTCCCGCTAACGTTACCCCTGCCATAACTTGCAACACAAGATTCATTTTGCTTGCATTACCAACTTCACCTGTCAAGTAGAAGATGAAATTCCAAATAAATTTTTTTACAATATGAAAATGTGCCCTTTGAAAGGCAATGCTACTGCCAATGTGACAGACGTTCAAGCTAGGCTTGCCGAATTCATCGTGGAAAAGAAAAATATGTTGTGTTGTGTGCTAAGAGGTGGGCATATGCCCTACATTTGAGGAGCTACTGGTACTAATTGTAGAATGACAAGAGAGAGAGATATATGATAAGGATGGGAGATCCATAGTCAAGAAAAGCATGGAGTGAAAAAGTTGACAGTGATTAAGTGTGACTACAGGGAATTTGTCCAGAAAAAGGTTGGGATAGTATAATGTTCATTACAAAAATCTATTTTGAGGCTTGATATTTTAATGATGAAGTCTCAGCTACAGTGAGCATTTGAAAAGAGAAGAAAAAATGCTTTCAATAAACACAGAAGCTAACACTGTGCCTGATACTTTTTTAGTTTTCACAATTACTGGACAGTATAACTTCCAGAAACCCCTGCCAAATGGATAAAAATGTCCAGGTCAATGACAATTGTTCCTGGCAGACTATGGTGAGGTAACACTGATGAATAAGCTGCTGTTTGCTGGAGAACCTCAAATATTTTTACTTTGGATATTCCCTACTAAGTTAAGGAAGCATCTTATAATGGCAGAAAATACATTAATGATGAATTATTAACATAGGGGTTAAAAAGAGGGCAAGAGGAAAGAATGGAATAGATCTTATTGGCACACTGACCATGGAAACTGCAGATGGAAGAGGAGAATTAATCCTGAAATCCCATTTGAAAAAGGAGTCAGGATTAAGCAACTGGAAATCTAGGAGTTGAAACTCCTGTATATATACTGTAAGTACAATTTATAAAAGGGTTTATTTTGAACAAAAATTTCATGAGTTCATTATGCGATATCCCTATGAAACAAAAGTAAGGGCAATCCATATAAAACAATACATAGATATAAGCCATAGTCAAGATGTCTGGCAAAGGTTATGAATGACCACATTATTTTCCATTTTTTTTTTCGGGGAATAGCCCACCCGGGCACAGGTCATTGGCCCACAACAGGGCCTGGGGAGTGAAAAAATAGTTGTAAAAAGAAATTAAAAATAGAAGAGATAAACACTAAATTAATCTACACTACAAAGATGTTGGAAAACCAGCTTTTTGAAGTGAGACAGATTGTATGAGTATGGAAACACAGAAGAAGGCAGAGCATTCCACAGTTTGGCTGTATGAGGAAAGAAGGATGTACTATAACGGGTTATTCTAGTGTGACCAACATCTACACAAACAGTGGGCACCGCGGGCAAGACGTGTGTTACGAGCCCACAGCCTTGCCAGCGGTACACAGGATGCCAAATCCACCGAACATTGCCCATTAAAGTACCTGTAAAAGAGAGAAAGTGAAGCAACATTGTGGCTAGGTTAGAGATTACCAACTAAAGGAGGAGAGCTATTAAGACGAAATGCCTTTGATTCCACCCTATCTAACAGATGGACAGAAGAAGAACCACCCCAGATATGAAAGCAGTACACCAAGTTAGGAATGATTCACTTATAAACTTGAAACAACTGCTCAGAAGTGAAGCAACTTTGGCATCTGTACAGCATTTCCAGGTTTTGGGAGGCAGCTTTAGCAATGTTGTGGATGTGTAGCTTCCATGACATATTAGAGGAAATGGTGAGGCCTAGCATATCTATTTTAGAACTTGGCAGAATGATTACGCCCTGAAATGTGATTGGTAGGAGATCTTCTATTTTGGAAAGTGTAATTGGCAAATACTGTGTTTTATTACTATTGAATTTAACCAAGTTTCTACCTCCCCATTCAGAGATGCTACACAGATCCGCATTGATAGATGAAACGATATCAGCTCTAGAAACAGATCTAGTTTGAGAAGTAGGGGGAAGGGAAAAATGTAAAGAAGAGTGAAGAGTAGAATCTTCAGCATAAGAATGGATAGAATTAGTCATAGTGTGAACTAAATAATTGATAAAAAGAAGGATTAGAGTAGGTGAAAGAACAGAACCCCGTGGGACACCACTACTGGTAGAAAAAGAGCGAGAGATCGATCTCTCGACAAAAACTGCCATGGATCGGTTCTCAAGGAAGCTAGAAATTAGAGAACAAAGTGGGGGAGAGAATCCATAAGAGGGACGTTTAGAAAGCAAAGACTTGTGCCATACCCTGTCAAATGCTTTGGAGATGTTGAGGGCCACCACGAAAGTTTCCCCATAATTCCTGAGAAAGGATGACCAAGATGGGTGCAGTAAGAGAGCAGGTCACCAGTAAATCTAGCCTGGCAAAAGCCATACTGGTGATCCGATAAAAGAGAAAGGCATTCAAGGTGACAGAGAAAATGAGTTTAAGACAGTTTCGAAAATCTTAGAGAGGGATGAGGTTAGGGCAATTTCAGCTTACTCCTTCAGAATAATAGAGGGTATTTAGTCTGGTTCATGTCCCTTACGAACATCCAAATTGGATAACACACCAGCAACCCTACGAGTGGAGATATAGGAAAGTGCATGGGTTCAGTAGGACTAGGGTGGGGTAGAGTTGGAATCGTCTAAGGTGGAGTTAGAGGAGAATGAGGTGCCAAAGAGATTGGCTTTATCAGGAAGAGAGTTGGCTATAAAGTTATCAGGTCAGAAGAAAGGAGGAAAAGAGGAAGTGAAGTTATTATAGATGTTTTTGGTTAAGGACTAGAAAGATTTACTAGAAGAAGAGTTAGTCAGGTCAGCGGTCTTTCTTTTTATAAAATTCCGCTTGGCCCTACAAAGAATAACCTTACAATGATTCCTAGAGGTAATGAAAGAGGAGTGGGTAACAGGAGAAGGAGATAGTTTCACAACTTGATATGGCCTATCTCTCTCCCTACACGCAAGAGAACAGGAGTGATCAAACCATGATTGTAAAGTGAAAGTTTTGGTAGAAGATGGCACTATCGGAGGGCAAACTGGCAATCCTTGCGAGAGCGTCCTCCGATAGTGCCATAGTTGGCAATTAGAGGGGGGTGTGGGAGTTGGTCGTGCCCAGTTTGATTTAATAGAAATAAGATTGTGATCAGAAGACCCTAAGGGGGCAGAAATTGAGTAAGATAAAGTATTATATAATCATGTGAAAATCAATAAATATTTTACTAATTATTCATACCCCATCACCAGAGAACATTGACAAACATTGTAGGATGCAAGCCTGTACTAAATGAAACTTACCTAGATAAAAGGAATTTTTGCCCATGGCTTGAAAACAACTCTGGCAGTCATCAAAGAGTGATCTGTCTCCAGCTGCTAAAATGACCAAAGTTCCCTCCTCTGCTTGTACCTTGCTGCCCTGCACCTGTGCCTCAAGGTAGCGCCCACCTCGACTACTAATGGCCTAAAATGATAACACAAATATCATAAGTTTTCTTAAAAAGTCATGAACACGTACAGCTTGGGATAAAATAAAATTTTTATTTAGTAATAAACCTCGAAGAAAATTACATACCGTATAAACATAATCAACTAGAAATGTGAAAATTATTTTCACTGGCAACTTGCCAAAGGAAGCTCTGTAACATGTTCGTATGTGCGGACAGTGAACTTCTATAGCAATTCATTGTTAAATGTATTCATTGTCAGGGATAAGTCATTGATTTCTCAATATATTGTATGTGATCTTCAATTCACTTGCACAAATGGTGGTGATGGATTATTATTATTATTATTAATTATTATTCTGATATTAGATTTGTTCAATGGATTGAGATAAGTTACATAGTTCCCAAAATTTACTTTTAATTCTGGTGAATTAGTTTGTAATGAATAAGTTATGATTCTATTATAATTATAAATTTTACAGAGTAGCACTGAATCTGTCAATGTAAAGTAGATACTTGTAAATTTAATCTGTTTCTATGCCCGAGATCTCATTAGTCGGGCAGGCTTTTTGGTAGAGTTGATGGCAGAACAAGATAGACTACCATACAAGACAGACAACTTTGGGAGATGAATTACTCAGTTGCTTGGTGTGTGTATAACATCAGCACAGCAGGGATAGCCAACATTGGCAGGGCCTCCTTGTATTCATTATACGTACCGTATATACTCGTGTATAGTTCGAGTTTTTAAGATCAAATTTTTAGGCAAAAAATTGGGGGTCGTCCTATACATGCGTAATAGTTTTGTTAGGTTGAACCCGTGCATGATGGGAAGGGCGAGGAGCAACTTTTAGCTTCAGACATGAAAAATATTTACTATTTGCTGCCAGTAAACAATGGAAACGTAAAATATGTACCAATTAGTAATGAAAAGTTGTGCAGTTCCTTCAGCAAATGAAGCTCACCAACTTACAATAGGCTAAATTACCTTACAACGTGCTTTCAGTAGTCTATGTTGAAGTTCTAAGCACAGGCTAACTTATCATATCATATACGGTATCACAGTTCTCATTGATCTACAAAAAATACAGGTAATAAAAACCTTTTCGATATTTCACACTTATTATAATACCCGGTAATCTACTTCAACCTCCTATTGTTTACAACGACGCATGACGCACCACCAGCTCTATCAGCTAGACGGTACACGTGTTTTTCGAATCGTTTTCAGTTAAAAAACTGTTACATCACATGTATATTTTACCTTAACTGTGCCTGAATGAATATATTCTCGGAAATAAATAGTAGTTTTGCTGAAACGTGATGTATTTTAATGTAAAATAGGATAAAATACATGACGAAAACAAAAGATTTTACCTAACCTTCCGATGTTCAAGAGAAGTTACTCGTTTTTTTAATAGTTTTTGGTTAAAATATTGTTATATTACAATGGTATTCTATTCATACTGTGCTTGATATAATGCATTCACGGAAATGTAATATTTTTGCTGAAATGACGTACGTATTACAGTGGAATGTGGGATAAAATCGTGACAAAAACAATGACTTTCGCTTTCTTTCGTTCAAAAGATGTTACCGTAATTGCTTTTCGAATGGTTTTCAGTTAAAAAACTGTTGTATTACAATAATATTCTATCCTAATTGACTTGAATAAATACTACGATACCATATTTCTGAATATTTTCATTAAAATCCATCAAAATCATTTTCCTTGTCATCGTCTGCAGCACCAAACAACTTCTCCCAGTCCTCTCCTTGAACAGGGCTAGAGGGTACGTGTTTTTTTAATCGTTTTCAGTTAAAAAACTATTACATCACACGTATATTTTACCTAAACTGCGCCTGAATGAATATATTCTCGGAAATAAATAGTAGTTTTGCTGAAACGTGATGTATTTCAATGTAAAATAGGATAAAATAAATGACGAAAACAAAAGACTTTACCTAAGCTTCCGATGTTCTTGAGATGTTATTCGTTTTTTTAATAGTTTTCGGTTAAAATTCTGTTATATTACATTGATATTCTATTCATACTGTGTTTGATATAATACATTCACGGAAATGTAATATTTTTGCTGAAATGATGTACGTATTACAGTGGAAAGTGACGAAAGCAATGACTTTCGCTTTCTTTCGTTCAAAAGATGTTACCGTAATCGCTTTTCGAATGGTTTAGTTAAAAAACTGTTGTATTACAATAATATTCCCTCCTAATTGACTTGAATAAATACTTGAATGGAAATATACAATATTTTTGTTGAAACTACCCGGGTTTCAGTGTAAAGTGTCGTAATAATAAATGGTAAACAATTTGCCTTCGGCACTCGTGTTTCAGGCACGGCGAGCCTCAGTTTATAGGACGTAGAGCGTTTTTACTGAAGGTTTTGTTGTTCCATTACCCTAAAAAACGTGGGTCGAACTACAAACAAGGAATATCATAAATTAACGATTTCTTGGTCAAAAAATCAGGGTCGACCTATAAACGAGGGGGGGTTATAGACGAGTATATACGGTACTGTAATAAGGATTCATACCCCCCTTCCTGTCAAGAACCTGAACCAAGTACCTGACAGTGCTTGTAAGAGATCAGTTTAGGTTCATGTGGGTTGGGGTGAGTTGGAGATAAATTTAATTTTATTGTTTTTTACTCAAGATGCTAAAAGCACCATAAGTAAATGTATTTTTGAATAGGTAATTTATGAGACATAACTGCATTAAAAATCAAGAAGCCATAACACCCAAACAATATTGGTACCTTTACATGACGGTCAAAGTGCCTTCCGCATACTGAAGATCAATAATTTCCTCAAACTGTGTGAGTCAGATAATAATTAAAATAATGGAAATTACAAGAATTGGACTCAACTGTAAGGTGTTAAATGGATCACATAAGGAAATAAAATTAATGACAAATCATGTAATGTTAATCAAATTGAATTTTAAATAAAAGGCAGGTAAACTCACTCAAAAAACTGTATCTTTACAATTTTGTGAGAGACAATATGACACAACGGATGAAGGAGTTTGACAAACCTACTGAGACAACAAGAGTTGCGGTTTTCATTTTGAAATTCATCGAACCCACCCATAAAGATACCTTTAGGATCGAGTGTACACAAAATAAAGGAGATTAACAAAATGTATGTTCATCCACGGACATAAAAATTCTGGATATTACAGTATAAAGTTCACCTGAAAATGTTAAAACATAAAATAGATCACTCATAGCTCATGACCTGATATAATACTATATTAACTACAGAGTATACACACAAAGACAAAAAGAGTTTGAAACTAGCATAGGCAGGTACTGATTGGTGTAGCAACAGCCTACACAGAGTTTTTGAATATTATTATTGTTACTAGCACAACAAACTTGAGTCTAACTGTTTGGAGTAGATTTCAAAGTACAATACAGTATGTAAAGAAAGGTAAATAATGTACCTCTGCAATATCTTGTGATGTGTCAGCATCGATGCCAGTCATTTCTACATAACCCTTGTCTGCAGAGATCTCCTGTAAGACACCACAGTTTCCAAACACCATCTGTGGGATAAAACACAATTTAATTCTCCTGTTGAAATCCATTAAACATTATAAAATTACAGGCTAGCATAAACATGAGTCAGCAAATATTGACATGACATTCTTATGGTGCTGGAGACTTTAATGAAAAACAAAAACAGAAGACAAAATACCATTTACATAAAGATCAGTTGCAGAAATAAAAAAAATATAAGAATATCTGTATTGATTTAAAATACAGACATGAATAAGTTCATACAGTATCCGATAGCTTTAGCCAGAGAGTGAATCATGAATACTGCTGACCAAAATCAGTGCCAACAGCAGGTAAAGTACTGTCCAGTATTGTAATTACTATATATTCCTGACAAACAACCTTTGAATCTGTTGAAATGGGGCAATTTATTTTACTTTTTTTTTGTCTATATTTTTAGCCATACAGTACCTAATTTCCTAAATCTTTCAAAGACCTAATTATTCCCTGGTTCTCATTACCCTGTACAGTATTGGGGATCAATCTTCTTCTGAGACCACTATGTGCTAATTAAAAGACTAACCATAAATGAAGGACAGAATTCTGAAAAAAACTTTGCCAAGATTGAGGGTGAATGAAATGGTTCTTGATTGAAAGCATTCATTCTTAATCCCTTCTGGCACAATTGATTTATCACACTTGGATACAACAGAAATCCAAGGTCAATCAAAACACCTTTGGTACCCTTTTGAACATAACTGTACAGGTATCTAATAATTCATAAAAGGTACCTTCTTAAGTATTTTATACCATGACAACTTGAGGGCACTGTAATCATTTAGATCAGTGGTTCTCAAACTTTTTTCCAGTTTTACTCCTATTTAAAGTTTGACAGGTGCGAATTACAATTTTATTCCTTAGTTTTTATTCAATAAAGTTTATTATACAAAGCACAAGTTTACAAAATTAATGTACTTACAAATTTTACTCCTTAATTCTATTCAATAAATTTTAATATACAAAACACAAGCTTACAAATGTACTTACAAATTTTACTCCTCCAATAAAGTGTATTATACAAAACACAAGTGTACAATTCTAGTCCGTCTTCTACAAAAATCTATAATAGTGCTACAGTTACTGTGCTGTTATAGATTTAGTCTTAGTGAGATGGATGAACTTGTTTTGTCAACACCAGATTTTGGATGCGTGGTTTAGTCTTTGACAGAGCCAGCCTCATATCTGAGCTTGGAACGAGCAGGTTTCTAGTCTTGGACTTGATGTGGTACAGTGCCGAGAACCCAAGTTCACACATATAGGTCGTGGGAAATGGAATAAGTACGTCGATAGCCCGAGTAATTAGAGTTGGGTATCCCACTGCTCCTTGCTTAAGCCAGAAAGATGCAATATCCTCGACAGAGTCGAATGTGCTACGGGTCACGGAGGTTACCCCACCGTGCCAACAGAAGCATATTACCCAAGCCAAAATGAAGTTTTTACCCCAGTTGGGGTAATTATCCCGAGTTTGAGAGCCACTGATTTAGACTTTCCAACCACGTTGTCAAGCTTAAGCATAATTTATCACAGGTAATTTATATCAAAGGCAATATAAAGACTTCCGTCCAAGTGTGACTGATGATACACACACCAACAATGGACAAAGTTATCCTAACATGCCTTGCTAAACAGGTAACACAAATATGGAATTCTGTACCTATATCTGGCATCTCCTAGAATACGAGACAGACATATTGTACTGTACCACATAAAATATAGGAACAAAAATTAAATACAGTACAGCACACAAATTATAATAACTCAGACATTAAACCTGCAAAAATTCTCAGTTTATTTGAGTCTTAATCATCCAACGAAGGCTAAAGTAAAGTTACAAAACCAAAGAAAAATGTTAAAACACTTACATTCTTGGCAACCTGTGGATCAGATACACAAGAAAATGTGATATCTGCTGCAGCAATGACATCTGATGGGGTCATCATCTCCTTTGCTCCAGCATTTACAAAGTCTCCACACTGTAAGAACACAATACAATCAATAATAATGGAGAATGTCCTCAAAGATCTGGACTAAAAGGGGGGACCACCTGTCTGGAAAAGCTGATTGTCCGAAATTTCCGGCGAATAATAAATGATATAAGAAACACCAAAAAATACAGTACTAATGTGGTGATAAACAAATTACCATATATAAACCATGCATTTACCTATGATAACATAATAAGAAACATTGTATCATTACTAGAGTGAATTAAATAATATTCCCACAAACAACTGTCAACTCTGTTTATGTTTCCCACCTCCTTGGGCACCTGTGTCCAAGCAATTGACAGGTCAAGCAGTGCCCACGGCCCTAAAATGTTCTTTGCTCTGGTTTGGGAACGTTTCTTAGGGAAACTTCTAGGAGGCTTCTTAGCCCAGAACCCCCAAATATTTTGTCCGGATCTTCCAAAATCCAGATTTCCCGGTTCCGGATCTTCGAGGGTTTACTGTACTACTGTGTTGCCATAAATGTTTAAGATTTCTCAGGAAGCCCTACAGTAACTCCAGACCACCCCAAACTCCTCAGGTACCAGCATGATATCTGATGGCTAAAATAAAAGGAGAGAGACTTTTTTAAACCTATCAAATTGTTATTTAAACCTGAGATTTAACCCAGCTTAACCCAAATTTAAGTAAGGTATATTTCTTGAGCTGAGGGGATCGGATGTTTTATACTATACCTGTACCTGCCTGCCGTAGCTACAAACCCTAAAATCTACCCATAAATCATCACACTATGATTGCTCAATACACAGATTATATATTGTGCAAGAATTTTTCCAAATGGATAACACGTCTAATTAACAAAATACTGCTAAAATTACTTTCTGTTGCTAAAACAGTACATTATTCCATAAATTAACATGGTGCCTTCCAGGTCGGCCTAATTGCTTCCATATAACATACAGTATTAAGTTTTATATTTATTCTTCTCATTTTACAAGAATACTTTTCCCAGTAACTAAAGCATCACAAAACCAACTGGGATAACATACACTGTATTGTACAGTACGTACTGTACAGTACTACCTTTGTTGCCAACCAATTATGATTCTCAAAATGACGAAACGGAGGTTTACACAGTGCAGTAATTCGTCTGATAGACTAGAGCACGATGGTCCAAGACCGACTGAGGGAAACAATCCAGATTTTTAACTCAACCTTTCTTGTAAAGATGTATGTTCTACAAATTGCATCATGGAATTAATTGTCCACAACCGTTGGCAAGATTGTATGTACTGTACTGCATACAGTAGATGTGCCACTGGAAAATGTTGTACTATCATGGACAAAAGTTCGCTCCCTCCCTACCTGAAGCAGTATCGACCCCAAATGAGACAGAACAGCACCCCCGCACCACACGACTGTCAGGGTAAGTCAGTTCGGAGACTCATTCCCGTGACTCAGTTTCACCACAGGGAGCGAACTTTTGTCCACGATAGTACCTGTACAGTACGGTGTATTTGAACTTGTTTGTCTTTTCGGTTTTATTTTTCTTTCGGACATAGCACGCCCCAAAGTTATAAACTACTGAAACATTTAGATCTTCCTATTCTGGGCATTTTGAACCCCATTTTTACCATTCAGAAATGGAAAATAGCGATACAACTTAATTTAATTGATTTTATGTACTTTTCAGTCTTTGTCTGTGAAGAGATGTTATCTGCAATGTTGACCGACGTCATCCAGTTGTGACCAATGATGTATTGATCTTATCACTCTTAAATTTTTTTTTCGACCAATTACATTTGAAGTTCTTCAAAGGGAGCAACCTGGGTACAGGTTTGAATTTCAATCACCAGTCTGACATTGGCCGTGGTGGAGGTTGGGTATGATTCGTGCTCCTACGATTATTTTAAGTTTATTACCGAGTTTTACGAGAATGACGATCATGCTATCCAATTTCTAAGTAATTATGGTGTTCTCCCTACATCTGTTGAATGCCCGTTGGTTAGGATAGATTAGTTTAAGCTAGGCCTACCGGGGGTCCGGGGGGCGGAGCCCCGGGCTAAGGGTTAGGTAAGTTGTTAGGTTAGGTGACTAGTTTTCGTGTTCTCCCAAACCAAAATCCCAGATTTCCCAGGCTCTCCCCCATATTCTTGGGGGGTCGGGGTGGAGCAAAAACGAGTAATTTCAGACAAAAATGAATGTCAGATTCGCTTAAAACACACCAAGATACACTGGAAAACATATAGGTCAACCCCTAGGGTCTCATGTTTGAAAGTAAAAATTTACCGTCTTTTGTTTCAGTTTAAAGTTCACATGATTTAAAGACATTGGAGTTTACATGGGGAGGAGGCGCTGGTGGAGCGGTACCGCTCTTGCCTTGCAAGCAAGCTGTCACAGGTTAGGTTCCCGAGCCGGGGGAAGTTGTCTGGACACTCTTCCTAGTCCCCCTGGTCCCTGTTCACCTAGCAGCAATGTAGGTACCTGCTGTAAATCGAAAGTTGCGAATTCGTATTCAGGAACAAGTTGTTGGAGCTTCCAATAACTTGCTTAGACATTAAAACTATTGACTCTTCAGGCTTCTACACCCTTGACTCTTATGGCTTCTACGCCCTTAACTCATCAGACATAAGGCAAGCATGAACTTAAGCATGCTTCCCTGTTGGGCGCTGTAAACACTTCTGCGCTTCACCTTACACAAGGTTGTAGGGCGGGGTGCCAAAAAAAAAAGTTTACGTACTAATTATTTCTATATACGACACCTAGCTTTACAATGACATATGAATTGCATCGGTATTCATCAACCAAAAGTTGAAGACTCGGTTAAATCTTTATTATTATTATTGATTACGAGCTGAGGGAACAAGCCCAGATGGCATGCAGTCCAGTACAACTTAGGGGAGTTATAAGTTAGGAACCACCATAATGTGGGTAGCGCACCAGAATTGGATCTCTATTGTTGGTTATAAGCCTTTGGTAGACTGTACGTGACTGTGAATTGTTTAACTACATGTACTTACATAACAAACACTAGTCCAAATACTTTTTTTAATTGGGTACGTGTGTGCTGGGGGAAGGGGGAGTAGACGGCACCAAAGACACAGGTATGCAGCTTGATTACAAACACAGTACAGTACTTTACGCCTGCACTTATATTCAGGTGAGAGTTCAGAGATTAAGTTTAGGACTTGAAATGCTGCCTGCCCTTGGATTATACAGCCTGTGTGTTGTCATTCACAATGTGTGCGCGTATGCTGCCACCAGTCTTTCCAGCTTACCTATTTTTAAAACATTAACCAAATCACTGAAACAGCAGATTATATTCCTTTCGATTTTTAACTGAAAACAAAAACAATTACATAATCTTTTTCAAAAGTTATTGGTAACCTTTAAGCTAATGGCAGATATGGTGGTGGTTGGCAATACCAGTTACCGGCGTTGAGTTATCAGATAGTCTTTGTTCTGATTCGGTACAGCAGCTGGGGCGCCGCGCTCTTGGCAAGCCTCAGTCTCACTCTCACTGTCTGCGAGTGTTCTCGTTCAGGAGTTTTTGTGAAAAAATTCGCCATAGACTCGAAAAATTTTGTTGCATACCTCGCCTGCAATTGGTGTGATACTTATGGGGAAGAAGGTGATACGTTATGGTGGCCAATTCAACAAAAAGTGACACCGGAGGTGAAAGATTAACTGCCGAACGCAGGTCCGGGTTAGTATATTGTCGAGTGGCTGCTGACGCTGTCCTACGAGTCCAGTTCGCTTCCCACTAGTGTATCCCCCCACGATCTCATTCTTGCACTACTGACTACAACATAAACTAACACCTCAATTACACAAAAAAAAAAATCTACTCCCTTCTCACAATTCAGAACACCGTTTGCAATAGCATGAGCAGGGATTAGCAGTAGGTTTTAGACATTTCTTTGTTGGTGGGTAGGGAAACAACAGATTTGCCGCCAAGGAGGCATTACTTTTTTCATACGACAAAAACTGGAGTAGAGAATCTAGGTTGTGAGATATTAACATTGCACTTAATTTGCCCTGAAGGTTAAAGATCCAGTTTGCCTTTATGGTTTGGTGAAATTTTCCAGGGAATTTTTCAAATAATATGGCAGCACTTGTCTTACATGTCGCCCGCTCAATGCAGTACAGTGAGTACCTGTTGTTTCCACCGGCCGTCTGAATGTCTGATATTACCAGAGTCCATGACCCACCCCGTATGGCCTGTTTTGACCACCAGGTCATACCGTACATCAAATAATCACTACAAATAGCTTGATAATATTTACCACATTTGCAGTGAACTTAAATCAATACAGTATAACCACCAAACTCATTACTGTTGACAAATAGGCTGGAATTAAAAGAAAATTCCATTCAATTGGATGAAATATTAAAGTAATATTTTAAAGTTATCCAAGCGTTGTTGTATTGGTGCGTAATTTACCTGGAAGAAAAATACTCCCTCCCCTCACTAAAGCACGTGACGCGTGGGCGCATACGATCATGAATGTATGTCAGTAGATTAAATATCCTGGTAATTCGTATGTAGATTCAAAGGGGGGGGAGGGGGGGCTGGGCTTCTACCGTAGATGTTAAAATATAATGATGGCTTCCAGAACCTCGATATGTCCGTGAGAATTCCAGTTTGCTCCGGAATGTCCACGGCCAACCTAAAACAACTGCGGAATACTGCCATCTATTAATATCGTTATCCCGGTTTTCTTGCTATTTATTAGTGGATGATAGCATGGGACTTACATGTTCTCTACTGTGATGTGTACAGGAGATATAAGGAGAGCATGCCGTGGTATAAATGGGCTACACTAAGGATCGTTCTGAAAATGTCCTTTGAGTGTTCGAGTGATATGCAATGGTTTATATCGAGTGTCGAGTTATTGAAGGGGGAGGGATGAAATTAATTATGTATTGCACACAATTTTGTTATGCCTTCCTAGTCTACATAAGCGTTTACACTGAGAATGGTACTCCAGATGGTACTGCAGTAGGACAGTACTGTATGCCGGCGAGCTTAACGTTGGGGGGGGAGGGTGTTGAATCTTGTGTAATTTAAATTTTTTTTAGCAAACAATAGGTAATTAATAAAGCTGTATAACTAAATTCGTTATATGGATAAATAACATAATTTTTACATGGTCAATGTGTGTTTAGTTCAGCCACAAACCCATCAAAGGTCAACAGGAAGATTAGAAGACCTACAACATCCTACCCCAGGGATCAGGCCATTCTGGAAAAAGGGTAAAACATTATATGAACTTCACTCGTATTATCAGTACAGTACGTCTGCTATCTCAAATCTGCACTAATCTGTCCTGAATGAAGAGAACATATATCATGACTCACAATATGGCAACATCATGTTACAAAGGATCGCCAGTCTTGTTTTTTTCTTCTAATTCCTGTTAGTGCAATTGTCATTATAACAGATGGTTGGAGAACGTGTAAATACGGCTGAAGTGAGATCTACTCTCTAACTTATTCTCAGGAGCGTCCAAGAACACAATTGACTAAACTCGGTCACGAACCTATGTGCAGCCGTAAGTTATACACTGTGTGTCTGGAGCTACAGCATGCAAATCCATCTAAATATTCTAACCAAAATTACCTTGGTTACAACAAACCCAATTAGAATATCCCACGATATACTTTCACACAAAAATTTACATAAATCCACTTGCCTTCAACTTTCAAGCAGACATCAGACATCATATTTGTTAATGGTGGACGAACGAACACTGCTTCTATACACAAAATCAGGTCAGAAGAATAAAAAAAATGGATGGCTGACGCAAACTGAATAAGGTTATATAAATATTAAGTAAAGAAAAATTTTCGTGATAGGTGTAAGCACTCTATCATGAGGAAAGCAATAGCATCACCGTTACAGAAACCTAGTTAGGATTAATATTATCATAAGGACATTGCTCATGCAACAGTAAAATTTTACTGGAGTACAGAACAATGACCTCTGAGCTAATGGCCTACCCTCAAACCATTTTAATATTTTTAGACGAATATATATATATATATATATATATATATATATATATATATATATATATATATATATATATATATATATATATATATATATATATATATATATATATATATATATTACTAACTGCGAGAAAAATAAGTTGTTAATTACATGGTTCTTAAAATGACAACGTTTATAGGTTATCTTATTGGATGTTAAATTACAATAACCACCTTGGTATATAGTATATATACTTGAGAACCCAAAGATAAAACGTAAATGAAGTTCATTCTTGTATCAAGTCTGAAATAAGGCTAAAATATAAGACCTACAGTATACACCTGTATCAGCTACAGTCACTAACCGCTCCTAGAGCTGGTGTGGAGCAGCGCAGATGTTAGCTGGCAGCGCACTGCACCTTTAATATCCACACACCCACGAGCCAACATTTCCTACAACCTGAACAGGATTAGTGTGGTTCGGCCATCATTTTTATTCCCCTGGAGAAATAAATTAAAGAATCACTAATACGTTTCACCTAATCAGACCAATAGACCTAAGTGAAATATTCGAACCTAAAAAAAATGGTAAATATGACTCAGGTCACCAATGAACCTACGACTAAAGCGCCACCGCTTCACCAGACATGGCCACAGCTACATTAGGCGAGGTTTTGACACTGCCTTAAATGTTTATGTCTTCCACACCAGAATTATCTGGTTCAGAGGAAATGATCCGACGAGGAGAGAGAGACGGCAGCCATTTCCCCGCCGCCGCCGCCACTCTTCCCACCAGTCGCTAGTCTTAGTAGTCTGAACAACAACACTAATAATGGTTACACCTAGGACTATTCACCTCCTACACAGCCTTTGGTAATCTATTTTTTTTGTCATTCACATTCCTCTTCCCTTTAACGAGCACCTCCTGGGGGTCATTAGTCATACACTTTTTTATTCGTTGAAAGTATTGAATATATTGGTCAGCCCAAACAATAAGCCTAAATTCGTGCTTTTATTTTTTATTAAGAAACACAAGGCGAATCAGTATTTACCCTGTGAATCATCAAGGCATAATCACTGCATCCTCAAGTTTCATTGACCCAAACTGATGAAATAGACCTTTAAGCATTCTTTAGTTCCACCACTCGGAGTTCAGACATAACGGGGAGTGACACTTGGTAAAATTACGAGCAGGGCCGTCCCTAGGAGGGTGCGGGGCCCGGGGCAACCCAGCCACTGCGGGGCCCCAGAAAAAATATATATATGGTGCCCAATAAACTAGCCCCTTCCGGGGCAATCTGTATATGGAGTCAGATTATGCGGTCAGAGGAACCCACCCCCACCAACCCCCATGGGACTGCCCAGCCTGGAAAAGTTAAGGAAGGCTACGAGCGATATTTGCCAGCGCCAGAAAAATTAGTTTTATATAGGATCTCTTTATCAAATATAACTACTCCTCGTACTGTTTTCTGAATATTTTAACTGTAAATGTGTCAATCGACAAGGGAAGCATGTACTATACCTGGAAAAGGACTGGCTGATGATTTGCTCCAACTAAACCAGGCCATACAGAAAGTTAAAAGACATGCAACTCTCGGGGCATGACATTTGCCTCATCCCTCATTAATAATGTTAGTAATAACTGGCAAATTTCAAACAGAAAATAAACCTGCGTATATGGGCCAATCCTGTACTATAAATGACGTATGACAACAAAAATGCCACCGAACTAAATAACACCATTGGTAAATTGGAACACGAAGATTTTTTTCTTCTATTATACGTATTGTACTGTACGTGTGTGTGTGCGCGTGCGTGGTGCGCGGAGAGGTGCACTGCATGAATGGAGTGGTGTGGGAGAAGTGAGCCAGCAAGGGATATTGATCAGCGACAAGGAGTGTTGCCTCCACCACCTTAACCTTGTGCCACCCCCTCACCCTCCTGTTGAATTGTTTACATAACACCATTTGCGGAAGGTCAATTTCTGGCAAGTGACCTTGATTTTCACTCTTAAAAAATACATGCACATCCTGAGATTATAACTTGTTGCGTTTACACGTTAAATACAACCACAGACATGTATAAGGCATTGGTGACAAAATCCGTCGACTCATGGTAAAAGGTAAAGTAGCAACACTGTCCTTATTTCAAACACAACACAGGCATGGGGAAGCTTCAAGGCCTACTCCTTTATATTCATACGCACGCTCAAGCACTGGCACTAATATCAGTGCACATACCCACAAACATCCCTGAATACAGTGAGCTATTTCTTGGAAGGAATTTATTCAAAATTTACATCGGTATTAAAAATTACGGAATGCAAACGTCTGAAAATTCATTACGAAAATATTTTGAAGCCACAACAAAATGTAAGTTGGTCAATACCCGATAGATTAAGTTGAATATCAGTCAGTTACCAATATAACTTAAAGTGTGGGCGCGATAAATACCGACAAAACCCAGAATGAAAACAGAGGTATCTGGAGTGGGAGACATCTCCAGCATTACGGAGATTAAAAACCTGCAACACCTCAGCAAGACTCGTCAACTCATATAAGTTATAAATAATGCTGCAACGATTCTAAAAAATAAATTCACTACACTCACGTGGTTGACATTCTTCAAGGTAGTATATACTGTGAAATGTTATCTAATATGTAATTTTAAACAAGACATTATAACTTTTACCAACAAAAACAAAGATGACTTAACACCCAAATGTATATGCACCAAACTTTATACGGCTGTAATACCGGTAACCTTGGGCGAAATTATTATAATACCACGATATTTCCACATACATTTCCCAAATATTTTGATCAGTTTATGTACCAAGAGTTCAATCACTTCACTGGAGACTAAAAGTGTCGTGTCCTACATCGTACTTGTGCATCACACTATCTGAATAATGAGGAGGAAACGCAACAACGGTAAAGTAATCGTTTTGCGTTGAGTTTAATGGATGTTTTGATTACTACGTATAACAAACAGATGAGAGTGCCGTGCACGGAGGGAGGATGGAGGGGAGAAACACTGGGGCTGGCGAGTGTCAGTGTGTCGGTTTACAATAAGTTGTAAACGTAACTCCCTGTTCCTCGAATTAAGTTTTCTTATGTATTCCTAAAACAGCCTAGAAATGCGACAAACTATACAGAGATCAATATCTTGATTACTGTATATGCTTTCCTCTCATAAGACCGGCTTAACAGTGTTTATATTGAAGCTATTTTTAGCAACCCATGCCTTGACACGAAGCCTCTATCCCCACACACATGGGGATGGAGAGGATATGTATCCCGTGTATTTGGTCCATATCACTACCAGCTGAGCATCACGTATGAAAAATACACGATATTGTACTGGAGCATTATGTTTTTAAGTTATATGGAAACTGCGTGTCACTAAGTTTGCCTTGTGCCCAGCAAAACATTCAGTAAAAAAGTCATCGAGTATATCCAGTATAATACAGGTATAAATATGTTGTTTTCAATTATTTGTTATATCACCTATAAACTCCCGTAAGAAATACTTCCCCCAATTTCCCCATCATACCGGTACACAGCTAAATGTAGATTATAATGTTAAGTGGTGGGGAGCAGTTGGCCACGCGCCCTGCGACAACTCATCTCTCTACCAGCGACAATCGTGGTACGTATACATCAACCATCGTCTCACTTACTTCACTGTTTGTTCCCGGTGCTTTATTTAATAACAAATTATCTACGAACTGTCAGAAACTATTAAAAAGACATTAGCAATAATATGTGACCAAAAACGAGAAACATCACCCACCGTCGACAGACATTCTACTGTTAGGCCCAAGGCCAATAAATCAGTCCTGTATGTTAATTGTTCTTAAAGTTTCAGATATAGCACAAGAGTGATCGACGCACAGCGATTCTTATCACTGCAATATTTTTAAGAACTTATTAATAAGAGCAAGAAGATATTGTTATTTGTAAAAACATAAGAAAATATGTCAATTTGTCCATTAAAAACGCGGCGTGTCCAGTTACTGGAGAAAAAAAATACCCATAACATATCCTGCACTTTTGTTAGATTTCCGGACATTATAACATATATATATAATATATATAATATAATATATATATAATATATATAATATATATATATATATATATATATATATATATATGCTGATAACCACAGGGGTGAGTACAGACTAGTCTGTACTCACCCCTGAAGATGTGAATTACACGCAGTGTACTACAGTACGAGTCAAGTGGAGAGTGGTTGACTTTTTTGTTCTTGCTTCAATTTGTTTAGCATATGCTGTTTCAGCACGAGTAAAAATTAATATTCATTTCTTTCAGTTCTTTATTTATACTGTATGAATGCATGTGTGTAATATATACAGTGCGTAAAAAAATAGAAAAATTACCACAAAATAGCATTCATCACATTATATTGATACTTGACATATCAACAATTCTTCTAAGTATATTTTGTATATTTTATACAACTTTGTATATATTTTCAACTCATTATTAAACATGCTTAATTTTTGGAAATTTGGAAATGGGCAAATGGCCACCCTATTTATTATACAGTAGTTACAGACTAAAGCTTACCTAATGTGTTCAAGAGACAAGAGAGAGTTGTAAAGAAAGCTTAACTAAATTCCGTTTGCAATACTGTACTGTACTTCTATTGTTAAATGAACTCTTTTGACGAAATTGTCGCACATTGTGTGTCTCATCCCCTGAAATGAACGTACTGTAGACCGGACACAGTGTATTATTTTAGTTACGTTTTGTAAATCACTGTAGACTGTTGCTGGCTTAATTAATGGCATCCATGACGATTTATGTAATTCAAGTTTTATTATTGACCATGGCCATATCAAGGTGTTAATATTACAGTATTAACCTGCTCAATATGTTTAAGTCGTTTGAACTGGGCAAGAGGAGATGAATGGGATATACAGTATATGGACAACAGCCATCTTTTAGGAAGAAATAGACCGGTCTGATAAAGGAAACAGGGGTACTCGGCAACAGAAGTGGGATCGATAGCGAGTGGCGTCGGAGGGATCTATGTAACGGGGCCGGAGCTGGGCCAGCCCCGCTAGCCAGCCTCAGTCAGCTGGGAGTCGTGCTCCACACAAGATTACAAGCAACAGCGCAATCGCAAAATTTTCCACTCGTCACTGTCCACAATGTACCATCACAAATGGTAAGATTTTCAATATTACACTATCAATATTGCCACTGGTATTCTACATACATAATCACAAATTATAATTATAGTTGTCCGGTAAACATGTCAGCAGGGCTGAGGAATTATGATCCCCATTTTGATACGTGTGATAATGGTAAACAACTCAACTGCGTGATAAGAGACGGATATCTCTAAAATATTTAGTGCGTGATAGGTCAATACGGATACAGGCTGCATATATGCTGGTGAAGGGATACATTATAGCAAGACTCATTATATAATGGTGAAGATGTGTGCGATTGAAACAAAATACTGTACTTTATATTGAACTCAATTTTTTTCTACAGTGAATGTTGGACGTAAAGAAGTAATACTTCATATTTTTCATGAAAATAAGGTCATGAATAATGATGATATTGTGTGTGTAGTACAGTGTAATTGTGGTTGCAGGTTGTGTAAGCGATGATGGCAGTATGGCGGCGATGGTGGTGCTGGTGGAGTGTGTGGGCCTTGGCGGCGGCTGTGGTGCCAGAGAGTGATGACAGTGGGTACAACAGGCGAGAATCAGGATGGTCGACAAGCAACATGGGAGGACCATACTGTCCTGACGGCTGCTCTTGCATAATGCCGCGTCAAGTAGAGTGCATTGCCACTTCCAGGGAGATGTACCCTCCTCAACCTCCCAACAACACCACCACACTCACCCTAGAAGGCTATTTCACCGTGCCCAAACACCTGCTCGCCAAACTTCATGCTCTTCGTCACCTGAAGATCAGTGGCAGTCAACTAGACAACCTGAATATCTTGCCTCACCTGCCTCAGCTAGAACAACTGGATGTTAGAGGCAATCTCATACAGTCCCTAGGCAATGGACACCTCCAGTTAAACACTCCCAGTCTTACTCACCTTGATGTAGGTTACAATAGCCTCACAATGCTCAATAATTCTGACCTGGAGGGCCTTGGTCACTTACAACTATTAGCTCTTAATAACAATCCACTTGTTCATATGGACGCTGACACTCTGCAAGGCCTAACGTCGTTGAAGTACTTAGATGTTTCACAAACAAGATTATCTACAATACATCATCAATGGATGGACGATGCCAAGAAACTCAGTTTCTTAAATATAAGTGCCGCGAATTTGCTTCAAGTTCCACGCCTACATGGGGACAACCTGCGAGTGTTTGATGCATCACACAACTCATTCCAACATTTACCAGATGGCATGGTGTCGGATGCACTGTGCATCGAAAATGTCATTCTTCACCATAACCCTATCGGGCATATCGGATCTTCAGTGTTTACTGGAGCCAGATGTGTACGACAACTAGACCTCAGTTATACCCATATTGTAAATATAAATGAATTTGTTTTCTCTGAGATACCACTGTTACAGCAACTGCACCTTCAGTATAATGAAAGATTAGTGCGGGTGGAACATGGAACTTTCACAGGTCTCCACAACCTCCAACTCCTCGATTTAGCCCATACCTCAAATTTGATGGAAATTGAAGAAGTGGCATTTGAGGGACTTCCCAAACTCCAGTCTTTGAATCTTCAAAACTCGGGTCTTACGGTGCTACCACTGTCCCTAAATAAATTGGTTAAGCATAATACATCAGTCTTTCTTGCAGGAACAGCACTTCACTGTGACTGCTTTCAATCTTGGCTTCCTGAATTGCTCACATTAGCAGACATATCAACATGGAACGGTGTTGACCCTGTGAAATGTCTAGATGGTCATTTTCGGAGTGTGGCCCAACTTAGCAGTCACGTAAACTCGTTGGGCTGTGAGGCACCTGAAGCCATCACTCCTTCAGGGAACTGGGTGGTGGTCCAGGGGAGGCAAAGTGCTTTACTGGAATGCAACATAACAGCTCACCCACCCCATAATGTATTGTGGATCTCGGCCAAACATGAAGTCTTCCGACACAATAGTAGCAAAGGCACCGACGAATGGATAAGTCACCATTTACGAGAAATTGAGGATGCAGCCACCAACAATCCTCAGTTTGAAGTCCTGGATTCTGGTCACTTACTAATTCGTGAGGTGATACGATCTGATGTAGGATGGTATAAATGCTTTGCCTACAACAGTGTGGGCAACACATCAGTGAGGGTATTCCTCAGTATCAGTGACAGTCAACTCCGTAACTTATATGTGGAAAGCCTCCTCTTTGGCTTAGCTTGTGCAGCCCTCTTCCTCCTGGTCACTCTCATTGTTCAACTAGTAAACTACCTCATGGACAGGTAATGTTTCTTATATTACTCTCTTATTTAATATAACTTATAATTATAAAGCTAAAAACAGCAATAACAGTCAGAAAACCATGTTTTCATACTCTGTCACTAGCATGTTTCATGTTCCTAAAAATAATAGTTAACAAAAAGCTTTTACTGTAAACAAATTAATAGTTAAGATTCAGGTATTTATACCTTACATTCTTTAACAATTTACTGTACTGTTCAGAGTATATTTTTTTCAGCAGTTTAATTTGAAAAATTCTTGGAAAATCATATTTGTGTTTGTATATTCTTGCAGGCTGGGCTGGGAATGTTGCTGTTGCAAAGATCGAGTATCGCCTAAGGCTCGTCAGATTAGGAAATTACTAGAGAGTGTTGAGTCTTACAAGTCACAACAACTTGACAGACTCAAAGACAACTACAACTGTCAGGTTAGATCCCATTCAAAATATTGTGGCTTCACATGCTCGTACTGAGATATTTTCGGAATAACATCATAAGAATAAGCATTTCAGTACAATATCATTAAATCACTGAAGCTTTGCATCCATTTTCTTTTCCAGGTGGTGAGCATCAAGGAAAGCTGCTATCAGCAGATGGAGCGTATTAGGGAGAGCTACAGCTATCAGGGCAAGAATCTTAAGGACCTACGAGACTACAGTACACAGGGTCTTACATCGCTCAGAGACCAGTATCTTGATCAGGTGAGTAACGTACATACAGGGTATTCTTCCGCCTCATAATTATGGGGTGCACTGGTATGGTGGGGTTGTCCACCCATCCACATGTATTTTTAATATTGATGGGCATTAACTCCAAAGATTCTTTATTCAGTTTTCACTACAGTGAGCTTATGCCTTGTGGTTCAACAAGTGATCGAGCAATTGTGGGATGCTATAGTTTGGTAACCATTTCCAGGATTTCTTAGTCATGACAAAAGAAATTTTTTTAGATCTCGCCACTATTTGTAATTCAATAAAATTTTCTCAGGTCAACAAGGTTCGAGACTACTCAGTATCACAGATGAATAGAGTGAGAGAGAACTACGTGTTCCAGCGTCATCGCATTCGCAAGTTTAGTGCACATCAGCTATTGAGGCTCCGAGAAACATATAAATACCAACAAAAGACACTTAACAAAGTTTTGGAAAATCTGCCAGACCTTTATCTGCAAAACTGTAGAACAGGAGGGTGTCAGCGCTCCGATTCCATTCTGTTTGAAGATGCTCTCAATGGTATAGATGTATATTACAAAGTGGACTTCTTTGATACTCAAAGTCACAACTCGGATTATTTCACACCAGCAAGCACGCTTACACGTTCATTCCGATCCTCAAGAGGCCAGGACCCAACTAAGCAACATTCCCGAACTTCTTCAAACGCTTCAAGTGATTTTGTTGAAGCTCAACCATGGATAAGGCGTGAATCCGGTGCTGTAGGTAGCAACAGCCCATCTCGAAATTTCCCACCTCACTCAAGATGTCATAATCGTAGCTTGAGTGTGACTGGCCCTATGTCTTGTGTATCAGATCCTGTGAGGGTACACAAGCGTAGTTTAAGTGCCAGCCATCCAACCCACAAGGTAGCCCCAGCACCAGAGATGAGAGGTATTCCAGCAAGAATTACCCTACGAGAAGAAACCAGTGATTATAGTCTAAGAACCCCCTTAAGCTCACCTATCTCTGTTCCAGGTACTCCCAATCTTAATAACAGGTTAAAATTATATGAAAATCCAAAGACTCCCTCTGATCAAGATGATGATCAGTGTATGAATGACCACAAAGAACAAAGCTCACCAAGTACAGCTGAAGAGAACTCTAGCAACGATGAAAAAGCTTCATCTAGCAACAATAGTGAAAGTGTAGATTCCAAAATTGCTAATGATAATGAAAATACAGTGCACACCGAGGATGACACTCTTCTAACCACAGTGACAGATGACTCGGGCAGTAATTCATCAGCATATGAAACATCCCTTTAGCCTAAGTGTGGTTCCGTGTTAACTCAACTGTGGTGCAAATAACCTATTAGGTGTCTGGTTACCTTTCTAGTGAGGCATTAGTGGAGGGGTTTTCCCCTGAGTGTTTTTTTTTTCCCTGAGGGGAAGGTAGAGGCTCAGGTGGTATTTAATGGTATTCATTTGCACTGATAGTCTTACCATAGCCATAAATTGCATTCAGTATACAGTAAATGTTTCAGTAATAATGGGAAAGCTTGTACAGTATTTAGCTTTGTATAATTTATTATTATAAAAACTAGGGGGCCAAAACCTCCTCTTGGATAACCCTCTGTGGGCAAATCTTTCACAAGCTGTATTAATATTGTGATATTCATTGGTCTGCAGTAAGTGATCTATAAGTGATCTAATTGCTTTACTGGCCTATCCCACATTTAGCCATTAAAATTATCAGGTCTGAGACAAAGAAGTGAGACCACTTGTGCCAACGTTTGTTTGTAATTAGAAGAGTGCATAGGATGAGGTTTCTGGACACTAGAGAGAGACATGTATTAACTTCCTCTCTCTGACAGCCATTTCCCGCCCATGCAGATATCTAATTGCTATTCTAACGTGTCATCCTTAAATGTCATCATTCATATATTTTCAGGTTAGTGCCATAAGCAAAGGAACCAATAACCATCACATGTTATTTTTAGGGTTGTTGTTTGCATAGTTAAAGAATATAAGTTCAAGTAGAAAACGTTTTATTTATTAACCCATTTATTAATATGACTTACATTGATAATTGATACATACCCTGTACTTGTAACTAGAAATTCAGGAAGATTCTCATGGCACAGACATTCAGTCGTGAGTAAGGCATTTGCAAAAAAATTACAATTGATTAAGAAACAAAAAAAAATCAATATTATGGGACACTAATACCAACTTTGGAATACAACTAAATGGTTGTTCAATCATTAAAAATGTGTGCAAAGTCAATCATTGAAAAAAAAAAAAAAATAGTGAGCCATTTAAAAACACAGTGGGAAAATTTTACATTCCCATACTATCTTTCTCCCGATTACCAAAAAAGTCAAAACTTACTGCACACAAAATATTAAAACTGTAAATTGTCTGGCTTCAAGTTTTCCTTGACCAAAATTTGATTCTCTTGTCTATCATCACCCTCCAGCCAACCTAACAACCTCTCTTACAAATATCTTCTTTTTGTTGTTGTTGTTGCTCTAATGAACATGAGTAAACCAAATGTAAGTAATGGACTTACTAATCTACAAGCCAGTAAAATTAGAAAGCATTACGTCTTTCTATCAGCTCAAATGAAAATCAAAATACAGTACATACAATAAACCAGGACAAGATGCTGCTTACTACAAACCTGACAAGTAAAGAATGCTAAAAACTTTCACTACACTGGCTGAGGCTTTGGTATTAAATATTTTTTATAGCTATCATTAAAAGGCCTGGATAAAAAAAAAATTATTCTCTTACCATTTTATGCAAAATCTGAATCGGATATTATGGAGAAGACTTGCATAGTTGCTAAATATATGCAGAGGTGTCAAAATTACGGGACTTGTCTATGATTTCAGACAGTTCAAAGTTGCTAAGTGATTACAGCTCCGTTGACAGGTTCCTAACATTTGAGGCTCGCTTGGTTTAGGACTCTGCCAACAGAGCTCAATACCCAGGGTATGCTGCTTTGTAAATAAAGCCCTAACACTAGATCATCCCAGGGTTCAGGGGTCCTTTGATGTTTTATCTACCCCATCCTCTTTTGTCTTAATACAATTTCACTTGTATCTTTGGTGTAAATTTGAAAAAATTTATTTTATCATGGTTGTGCCCCAAACTCTATTATGTTTGGTTATGTTGGTATAGTTATATTACCCTAAGTTAAGGTAAGTTTCTCTTCCCTTATCTATTACTAGATCTTCTATTATTTTATTTTTTCACACACTGAACCTTTCATTCAAAATTTTTCTCCCCTTTATTAAGTAATGGTCTACCACTCAGGTGAGCTACCCTTTATACTACATTCACATCTACCCAAATTCCATTCTTCTGTATACAGTACCTGTACCAACAGTCTCAAAAAAAAATAAATAAATAAATAAAACTTTTTACTCCAACGCCCCACTGCCCCTTAGGATTTCTTTCCTTTGAACCACGTATTCCCCATAAACAACTCTCTCTCAGTATACAGTCCTATCCATCTCTCTCTGCTTTCATTCATTCCCGATACTCCACATTTCCCAGCAATCTCCTCCATACCCAAAAAACTTTCATTTAAATCATGCATCCGCATCACATTACCTAGTCTACTTATTAACATGTTTTAAGAATGCTCTTCTCATTCCTTGGTGCATAAACAATCACTACAGCCAATATTTCACTATTATACGAGGAACTCCGGAACATAACCTGCTAAGAGCTATATGACGCTGAAACATGTTATGTATTGCATTGTATTCCCCAACCTCTCCTGTGTTCCCTGGGTAAGTTAAGAGAGCCAATTGGGAAGCTGTACATGTGGGTGAGACTCATCTGAAAAGACTATTGTATGGCACACATTCCTCCTTGAGCATTTTCTATTTTGGCACTTGGCAGATTATTGTCCACAGCTCCGCAAATACCATCACATATCATCATTCATTATCACTCTTATTATTATGTTCTTACTTTCACACATACACACACACTCCTGACTTTACTCCCCACACTTGTCCCCAGCTCATCTCTTAATCACCTTTCAGCTTCATTTTGCACAAAACCAGGATATCCAGTTTCGTTCACTCATAAGGTTCAATCACTAATTGCATTCCTGCACACTCAGAACACCTACATTATATTTATTCATATCTTTTTAAGAACTGAATGTAAGTACTTGGAGTTACCAGACCGACACCTCCAGACTAAAGATGGAGAGTATGTCAAGCCTATTGCTAGGCCTGCACTGATCAACTAGAAAAGTACTGTACCATACCAGAGTATATAAAATTACAGATTGTCAAGTGTTTTAAAAGAGTGTGGTAACATCAGACTCGCTTTATTACCTAAATAACAGCAGAATAATTCAAAGTACTATAATGGGGTAGTATCATAAGGCTTGAAATACTAAGTTAAACTGTATGGTGATATATAAAATACATTTCTTTATATACACATTACATTATTTGAAACACATTAGTCATTGTGTAATTACATTCAATGCAATTAATCAATTCAATTTTTCAATTTCAATTGTTTATTCCTTGATAGAGGAAGCGGGATCCTAGTGCTGACACTAGGTACCCCTGTGCAATTAATCTTGATCATTACTGTCTTCTGGTTGGGAAATTTAATACCCCATAACCTAATTTCTTGGGCAGACTACAATGGGTTCTATGGGTGAGCTAAATGGGTTTTATGGGTGGATTAATTGGGTATTATGGGTGGGCTTAAAGGGTCCGATGGGTGGGCTATAAGGAATTTTATGTACAGTAGAGGGTAAGCTATGCTGGGTTCAGAAATAGGCTGCAAGGGACTATGAGATTTGGTGTGCACTCCAAAAGAGACAAGTAAAGTGTTCGCGCAAGTTAATGACTTGACTTGTCTTTTTTTTGCCCTTGACCTACAGGCTACATGACTCAGACTTCCGTAAATTTAAATATTAAACTATCCAACAATAATAAACATTTACAAATGGATGACTTTTGTAAGTTTGATGAGACGAACACTAACCGTATTTCCCTCAATATGAAACGCACTTTATTACAGCAAAAATAAATGGGAGTACCTTCAAATATCACCCTGGATCTTATACACCTATGGTTAACCCTAGGGGAATGCAGTCGCCTGTACTGTACTAGACTAAATCCTAGACTCCCTCAACTGACACACTGGTTCCCAGACAAACCCAGAATAAATTTTATGCGATCATAAATTATTAGAAGCAAATATGAAATACTGTACTGTAAATATTAATAGTCCAGTCAATCAGACTGTACTGTACTTTCATCTCTTTATTTCCTATCACACAATAACACCACGGCCCACCAACTTGAATCAGTCGAGATGCAAGTTGGTACAAATTATTACAGGACTGCAACTTTAAACTTGGAATACACCAAGGCCCCCAAAAGCCAACCCCTTCCCATGGAGCAAGGATGTGACTTAATTTTCCAGAGATTTATATTCATATATCTTAATATCTGGTGGGATCTTAATATCTGGTGGGGTCTGTAATATTTAGAACATAAATACTACGACTCCAGTTACCAAGAGTGTATAATTTATTTTTAAATACGTTATCTTAATATCTGGTGGGTACGTTTTGAACATAAATAAGACGGGTAATTTATACAGCATATTGTTTTTTATACAAACATGCAAGAGAGGATAATAGTTAAGAGAACATTACATATGTTCAGTGATGAGCGTGTCCCCTTTTGTGGGTGAGTACTTATGTCTTTATTTGAAAGCTGTTTTATTTTATTAATATTTTATTCTATTAATTGATTATTTATTGTTCGAATGTCATGAAATAGTGGACGGAATAGGTACGGAGCAGTAGATTATAGGTTGTGGTATAAGTAGCTTTTTTTTCCATTCAAATATAGGTACAGACCCTTGAAACTGGACCTTTTTCCCCCCCTGGGTAAGGTTAAATTTTCTTCAATTGCCAAGTCATGTTTTGCACGCACGCATGCACGCGCACTGTTCTCACAGGTCAATGTGAGAACAGGCAGCATCTGGTAATATTTACCTTGGATCTTTGGTTTAATTTGACCAATGTTAATTTCAAAAGCTATGTGAAAACAACAATACAGTATCTTATGAAATATGAATAAATATAAATAAGATAACCAAGGTACAGTATTGGGCTATTTATTTAATTATACACTTTTTATTTATGAGATGACTACTTCTAGCAAATGGCACTAAATAATGTTGGGAAATAAACAAACCCATATAACTCTCATTTGGAGAGTTTTCAACTTCTAACTGTATTTAATGTTTCTTATTTATTTAAGTATGCATACAGTGATGTTTTCTTTATTTTGTTATTTAAGAAGTAAAACAAACATTCAACTGAGTTTGTGTGAATGTGTGGAAGCATATTTTGACATAGTTCCCTGGTAAGCCTCAGGTAATATGGAATACCTTGGACCCGGGAAACCGGAAAATCCCCAAAACCAGTTCGGTTTTGGTCCCAAGGGTCCCGGATTTGAGGGTATATACCTGTACTGTAGTTGTTTGTTTTATGCAATTTCACTTTATGTGCATTTTTTAGAACAATTATTGTACGCTTGAAAAAATCAATATTTTTTCCCTACACATTTCCTGCTAATTCTGGGGTGAGTTTAATATGGTGGGAAATAAAGCATTACCCATAATCAAATTTGATAATAAGCTAACTCAGACAATGACTGTTGCAATGAAATTTCTGATGTATCCCATAAACTCAGTTCTCTTGGAAATTAAATGAGCAAACACATCCAATCAGTTGATGTTTTGCATGGTAGTCAAAATACTGTACGCTTAAGACATTCTTTCTCCTAGCTAGTGTACATGTTCTGCCTTGCGACATTTAAATAATAACATTGCAAGGATCTACTAATGTAATACAATCCTGGTACTGTATAGGGTTAACATAGTTGTATCGCAGAACCTTTTGATGACCGTAATTATACATTGGCACCTGTTTTAAACGGACATATGTGGTGAAATTATTCGAATATGAAATAACGTTATGAGGTCTTAAAATATTTTCTACAAGCCAGTTACATGATGTCAATAACACAAGAGTAACAATAAATATACTGTATTACAGTATACGTACAGTGTATATAACCCTTGGTAATAGGCAGACCTAATTGCAAGGTACCAGTGAAATGTCGTATTCATTAACATAGGTAACTCTGAGTTGAGGTTTGGAAATCAAAACACAGATGGACAAATAACACCACACAATTGTACGTTCAGTTTTACATGGGAGTATACAGAGAAAACAGCCAAGCTCGGGCTTTCCCAAAATAATGTGCTTCCAGAGAGATTCCCCCTTCTGAGGTTTGATGTCTGAATTCTGGTATATTGCATAAGACCATAATATTTTGTCAAAGAAAACAAATTCCTGCACTTGGTCGACTGGAGAGTATTCATTTTCATTGAGTAAGTGGAATTCATGATGGGTGTAGGTAAAAGATGCTCCATACCTGTGGTGTTATGTGTGGAAAACTTTTGCGTGTATGTTCATGTTGAGAGCTAAGGAATCTCTATACTGCACTGTTTAACTAGGAATACTAGCACCACAAAGAACACAACAGAATATTGATAGTAAAGAGAAAAAAATATATATTTACAAACAACTATAATTTTACAACAATCCCTTTTTAACGAGAGCAACACATTTTGTTCAGTCCAGAAAGCAACATGATAAGTTTCGTCCCATTACCTTCAATGCTTTTAGGGCTGTGCAGAGAAAGCATTTTGTGGTTTATAACATAATAGGGTGATCATGGACACACACCAAGAAATACAGTACTGTATTAGCAAACTTAATATCAAAATGGTTTGAAAATATCTAGACCATATATTTGTGTTATGACAGACCCATATGTGTTTCTCATGCTGTATATGAATAGAGATAGGACAATAAATTTTTTTAAGCATTACACCCACTGTAAATACACTATTAGGTAAATCAAATGTGTTTCAAATAACCGTAGCAGGTTTCCTCACCTCAATACAGTATATTATAGTACTAAAACTGTCTCTCATTTCAAATAAAACAATTAATCCATGTTGTATTTGGAATAAAAACCAAACAATAACCTGGACACTTCTTTCTCCCTTTACAGTTTATCATTGTGTGTGTGTGCGTACACAGTCTGTTCTCCTATAATGCGTGTTTTCACAGCACAAATTGATTATAATGTGACGAATGTATTCGGGAATACATTTTTAAAACACAGATGTGAATTGGGTATAATGTGACTTAGTAAACATAACTATGTCACGTGAGTAGGCATAAGTGGCGACCTGTGGTGTAAAGGTCAGCATGCGCGCATTGCAAGTGAGCGGACTCGGGTTCGATACCCGGGCAGGGTGAAACTATGGGCAAGTTTCTTTACGCCATTTGCCTATGTCTACCCAGCAGTAATTGGGGACCTGTATGTTAATTGATCTGTGGATCATGTTCCGGGGTAATGGTTAGCCAGTGCAGTTGGCGAGTTGTCCGGTCTTCTCGGACTATTCCTTGAGAATGAGTCATGCAACTCGTTAATTTAGGATGTGGTTGTTGTGTTGGCGACAGTTTCTTCACCTTAAACAAATTCAAGCCTAGGTAGCCCTTGGGCCGGCCATCCTCGTTACACGAGGGGCAACCATTATTATTAAGAGGTTGTCCAGCTGCCTCGCCGTAGCATCATATAAGTATCTTTGTAAAGCATACCATATTTCCATAATGTACATTATCTATTTTTAAACAATAAACCTCCACCAACATGGATTAATTATGGGAGAAGGCAGTCCGAGATGGCCCGAGTCTAACCTAGGTCTAAAATCAGAGAATTTAATCTGAGATAGGAAGACGAGTCTGAGCCCGATCTATATTTGAGAATCAAAGGGCAACAGTTTAGAGAACAACTCATAGTTACAATCTAACTGGTAAATTTTTATAGAAAATTGTTGAGAATATTCACCAGCTGATCATGTGGACACAGCGGCCATATCATGTGTTCAGACTCGGTCACCCTCAAGATGTTATGGATGGATAATGCACTGTATATAATAAACAATAATAAACATACAGGTATATTTTTTGTTTACAAAAAATAAATTGAAATAATGAAATTAGTGTTGAAGTGAGAAAAGGTGGTGTCTAAAGAATTTATTACTTTACGGTGGTCCCTCGGTTAATGAGATTTCGGTTAACGAATTACCTTCCATAAGATTCTTAACTTCGGTTAACGAGCAATCCCTCGATTAACGAGTTTCTTACGAGCCAACCTCCACATGTTTTAGCTTGCATTTGGCGGTCCACCAGCTGTAGTATTAGTCCGCCAATACAGTAATCGGTTCTAGGGCTTAAATTCCTTACCCTTTTAGTAAATATCAAGAAGTTTATACTATTCAATAATTTTTAAAGTTTAATATTAAATTTTTTAGTCATTTTGACAATTATTGAACATAATTGAAGGTAAGGTCACTAGTTTGTAGCACGCCATCCAGCCTGCCAACATAGCATACAGGCGTCAGTCTTTGTGTCTTTTCAGTGGAGGTAATATCTTGCTTGAGACTCTCTTCAACTAAACGCTTTTTTCTGAGTTTACAAGCAAATTATTGGTCATTTTGAAATTTATTTTACATATTGACAATATATAATGCAGTGCAGTGTTGATTTAAAGAAAATAATCTTGAATTACACCAAGAGAACTAAAATTTTATGGGTGAAATGGCACCATGGGGTGACTTCTCTTCCACCCCAATGCCTTCTCTTCTCCCTTCTCCTCCACCCCCATTCTAATTCCCATCACCATCATCATCATCATCCAGGAGCCTTCTACATACACACCTCAAAGTAAGTGTACTTTACTACCGTTTTTGTTGAATTTAGGCAATTTTCGGTGAGCTGGAACCAATTACCCAAAAACCCATTGAAACAATGGTTTCGGTTAACGAGCAACCCTCTAGAACGGATTGTGCTCGTTAACCGAGGGACCACTGTACAGGTATTCTATTCCTTGATGGTCAATTGTCTAATGTACCTACAGTACAGTACTGGAGCATTTCCTCATCACCTCAGTGTAAGAACATTAAATATACTTTTCATGTTTCATTTCTTAAGAGAAGCATTAAATATTTTAAATGCTGTATGTCTCAATTAATAAAATGCAATTTTCCCTGCTTTCAATAAATGTCAAATACGAGCGACACATCATCTGCTAATCATGTGGCTACTGTGGCCATATCACATGTTCTGACTCGGTTACTCTCAAGATATTATGGACGGGCGACAATGCATTTTGAATAGTAAACCTAATGCTAATTATGAATTATAATGTAAATATACAAGAAATAATTAGACAATCATACAAAAATATTGAATTGTTTAAAAAATAAAAAAATAAATAAAAAGATTATATAATCAATAAATAAAACTAAATTTAAAAGTATGACGAGGCGCAACGCCCCATCAAAGAATCACAGGGGCCGAGATAAAAGAGTCTGAGATGGCAAGGTTTTACCATATAAAGCACAGTTGATGTGGCTGTTTGCTATGTACAGCTAAAGTTTTGAAGATGGAGAAATGAAATTTGGCATGGTGAAGTGCATGCACCCCAGTAGAGTCAGAAGGTGCAATTTTAGGGGTTGGCCCCAGTGGTCAGCCCCCACCCCCCCCTTCATTAAAGGCAAATCTATTTTGGCTTTGCTATGCATGGCCATGATTTTTAAGATAAGAGCTGGAATTTGTTATGCTTATGTAGTAATATTTCCATTAGCTGGAATCCCTCAAACCTGGAACTCGGAAAATCATTCCCAAAGCCAGAATTTTCCGGAAAATTCAGGCGCTGGGAATGATTTTCCAAGGGGCACATTTTTTGGAAAATTCTGAGAAAATTCTCCCAGTACCCAGAAAATTCCGGGGATGGGGGATTTTTTTTCCGGGCTTGCGAGATGAAAAATCAGACACATTTTCCGGAAATTCCGAGAAAATTTTCCGGTACCCGGAAAATTCCAGGGATGAGGAATATTTTTCTGGGTTTAAGAGATGATGTAATGCGCAATTTCTGGAAATTCCGAGAACATTTTTCAGTTACCTGGAAAATTCTGAGGATGAGGGATTTTTTTCCGGCTTTGAGAAGTGAAATAATGCAGCATTCTGAAACTTCCGAGAACATTTTTCCGTCACCCGAAAGATTCCGGGGATGATGGATTTTTTCTGGCTTTGTTATTGGAAATATCTCATACCCTGAAGTGCTCTGCACCAATTGTTCCGGCTAAAGAAGATATCTCTATATAGCCTCAAGATTATTTATGAATGTTTAAATTATGGTGGGGAGGCTTGTTGGGGTCGGTTCCAACCCGACTAAAATTGGGCCCCCATGTTCACGACCACAGTTTTTAACAGAGCTCAAATCTGGTATATTATACGTGGTTATGTTTTGCACATGCACTTAATTTTGATTAAGGACAGACATCGGCTATATGGATGCACCAATTCTGGTTAAATTTACTTTATCAAAAACAAACTTGGACAATGCTGGTATCCCATCTAGTTAAATTAAATGCATTCCCTATATTTTTTAAATATCATTCAATTTATTAGTCTGTTTGAGCCTTGGTTTAACGATCTTCGACTCACCAGGAAAAATTCGGGAGGGAAATCGGAAAAACTGGGGATTCTGTACTACAAGTGTGCATCATTACAATATTCCCATAATGTACACTATCTAGCAAATATATTCTCTATTCTTTAAAATATCTCTCAACTTGCCAGCACAATCTTTCTTCGACAATTTCCAAGAGCCCACCTCATTAGAATCCAAATAAGCCCAAAAACTGAATTAATTTAAAAAACTGACACAAATCCAAATACCAAAATGAACAATAATGGTGAAAATTTTGTACTTACCTTTTCTGAAGATCTGTTCCACACCATAACACTGTGCCCACTGTTCAGAAGATTCTTGACAATGCCAGATCCAATGATACCCAAGCCTAAAAACCCAAACTTTAGCCCAGAGGGTTCAATTTTTTTGTCTTTCAATGTCTGACTTACACTGCCCACATCCAATGGCGGTGTTTCCTATAAAGGGAAAAAGAAAACGTATATTAGTACAGTATAAAGTTTATTTGTCACTAGTTGGGAATGAGGACGGAGGGGTTGTTGGGATACTGTATTTGGAGTATGGTAAGTGTAAATTGAGAAAATTAAAGAAATATGTAGTGAAAGAAGTGAAGGAAGAACTAAAATTAAGAAGGAATGGTCATCCAGGAAGCAGCAGTATGCATGAGTGAGCAGTGGAGTGATTAAAAACTAACATCAAGGAAGCTGTGTACAGTGAGTATAACAATTATAGGACCTGGACAAGGGTTCTTTTTTCTTTTCTTTTTTAAGAAAATAAACAAAAGCAAATAAGTGCCAAATTAAAGGTATAATTCTTCATTTTTAAATAGTACACTGTACTATTAAGCTCTAATTATCTTAACTAACCATTCAGTAGCTTCAGTAAGATGATTTATTGAGGCCAGAAGTTAAACAGAAGTCTAGTGTAATGCAGAAAACAATGTGGCCCCAATTCATATAATGAAATGAAGCCAGACCACCTAAACCTGCCCATCCCTCATTAAGCAGTTGTAAAGTTATTGTTTCTTGATATTACAGCCCAATAAATATTCATGTTAAGACTATAAAAATAAATTCAAAATACAGTAGCAATAAAAACAAAAATAATATCAGTTTCACTCAAGGCAGCCTGGGTTGTCTTGCTTGACTCTGGATAGTGTACCGGGAATAATATCAAAGAAAGGACAAACTGTATAGCAAGTATAAAAGGAAGAAACAGAAAAGTAATAAAAATTTACTGCAAAATTATAGTAGAAGAAAGTCTGCTGAATAAAAAAAAAAAAAAAAAAAAAAAAATGCAAGGTACAGTAGTTATAATCAGAGAAGACTGTAGTAAAATCAGCATACTTGGGAAAGTGGAGAGTGGGTTTAGAGATGTAAGAGGGAATGTTTATTAAGTGTTTGTTTTGAAGATCAAAGGAAAAATGTGTCTAGAGAATAGTAAGAATTTGTTTGGGGATATTTATGGATAATGAAATAGCATGTGATAAAAGTACAGTCGATGAATGAAGGATGGCCAGAAATAGGAGAATGCACAAGCACGCACGCACGCGCGCGCGCGCGCACACACATTTTTTTCTCCTCATCTGCTGTCATTCCTCCAGTCTTACAGTTGTAAAAAAAAATTAAATTAAATACTCGGCTATAGTACAGGTTGACAACCCTTTATCCGAAAACCGAAAAGCTCTGAAAACTGATAATTATTATTATTTTTTTTTTGTGGAGCAATTTTTTTTTTTTTTTTAGCCCACCCGGGCACAGGTCACTGACCCACATCAGGGCCTGGGGGGTGAAAATGTAATAGTAATAATAATAATTATAATAATAATAATAATAATAATAATAATAATAATAATAATGATAATACAGTAATAATAATAATTATTCATAGTAAATGAAACTTTTAATAAAAAATACACAAAAATCAAATAAGTATGATAACAATAATAATAATAATAACAATAATACTGTAATAATAAAATAATAATAAAGAAATACAGGAATGAAAAAAAGATCAAAAGTGAGAAACACGACCTAGACCTATGAATTATTATTATTATTATATTTTAGCTCCCAGGCCCCAATGTGGGTCAGTGACCTGTGTCCGGGTGGGCTGATCCCTGTATAAAAAAAAAAAAAAAATCATTCTGAAATCCGAAAAATTCCAAAAAACCAAATGCATCTGGTCCCAAGGATTTCGGGCAAGGGATAGTCAACCTGTACTCCCTTTCTACAACATGCCCTCCAATCTGATTTACTCACCATTTCCCCTGATCCAGTATAATCCATCAGTAGCACTTCCTCCTCTAAATGTCATATAATATAATGCTCTCTATTCAATCATGCACACATTCCTTATTTCCTAGATAATGAGACTAGTAGGTGAGTGTTTCACTCATAAAATGACCACATTATTGAGTGATTTTCTTCAGCAAACATCCGAGTGTCATTATTGAGTCTTCCTTTATAAACCCAAGTCTGTAAACACACTTAATATAAAGGAGCTGTTTTACAAAATAGAAATAAAAACTTACTGGTCTTTCAATGTGAACTGGTCTGTTGAGAAGAGCTGATACTCGAGCCTTTGAATTGTGACTCGTTGGAGAGATCGTTAGTGATGAATCTTTAAGTTTGATTGATTCTGTCTTGAGACGTTTAGCACTCCCACTACTCCCAACATTAGATGCATCACTGTTTGGTCGCCTTTTTGGTGTACCCTGACGAGGAGAACAATAATTTTTTTTATCTTTTGCAAATTTGTCATTAGCAAATAGGCCATGCTTAGGCAGTATATAACTGAAGCAATTTTTTCTTATAATTTATGTCTGTAATACAGAGAAAACAAGAGAAAGAAGCAGAAAAAACTATGAGAAGAAAAACAGATTAAAAGAAAGGTGAAACCCTGGTATAATGAAAATACAATATGAAGATACTGTACCGAAAATAACCATTTTTGAAAAGCAATAGATTGGTACAATATATAGGTAGCCCTCGTTTCCTGTTAATTCAATTGTTTAACTTCAAAACCGTTTATACAAAGTCGTTTATTATTATAATTAGGGAGTTCAGTATTGTTCTCAGTGTTTACCGTGCTGCTGTTTAAACCTGTTTGCTCACCCTCCATGCTTTCCTGTCATCCCAAATTTCACGTGTTCTAAAATACCTGCTCACTGTCTCAAAATTCTCAAGTGTTCTAAAATACCTGGTCACTGTCTCAAAATTCTCAAGTGTTCTAAAATACCTGGTCACTGTCTCATGTGCATTAAAAAAATTTCATCAACTTCATCTCTGTACAGTATTAGCAATGGTGATGAAAAATGATCACTGGATTCTGTATTCTCTCAAGCACTGTCTATTCCAAAGAAGCAAGTTACTTCAACTATTAACAAGAAAGAGGAGGTATTCGCCATCTAGACATTGGCGAGGCAGCAAGCAAGCTTTTTCATGACATCAGGACCACCACAGTCTGATTTGGTCCCCAAAGTAGCAGATAATGAAGATTTACTCCAATACTGGGCTAAGCAAATGAACAGCCCTACTTCCTCAATCCTCATTCCAGCTCCTGCATCACTTTACTACCTCCCCTCCCCTCCCCTCACTGCACTGCACTTACACCTGGTATTTGATAAATTTTGTTGGTCCTTAAAATTTTAAGCTGGACTGTCCCCAATCCTAAACTTTTTCATCACATTTCATGCATATCAGAAGTGACCCCTGGGTGACCTAAATGCCAGAAATCTGTGTTACCTTTTTTATTCCCACATGCTACTACCTATGTAGTTTTTAACCACATTATTAACTTCCTTATACGTCCACTATTTCACCACCTTTGCTACATCACTCCTCTACCACTACTTCCCTGCCTGCTGCCTCACTTGTCACATTAATTTACCCTTCACTTTTTACTCACTCTCAAAATTCAAAGAACATATATAATTAAAACATTATATATAAGACTAAACATGGATAAAACTGTCAACAATTAATAATCAATATACCTGTACGTACTAGAAAGGGATATACTGTACAGTACTGTAGACTAATGGACACTTCAAAAGAAGGCATAGTTCATGTCATCTGCACTTATGAGCAACTTGCATCAATGTTCACCAAATAATGTTATTGTAGCTTTATCTTTTAACAAGATTTGATAAATTATATATATATTTTTTTTTTAACACATTTTTTTGGATATGCAAAGTACTCTTTGCTAAATACATTATTTATATTATTTTGCTTTCATGATGCCCCCAAACAAGTGCCAAAGTGATAGAACTGAGTTTAACAGTGCTAAAAGGAAACAAAGTGCTGGGAAAAAAAAGTCAACAAGGAACTAAAAATTCCACAGCATTTTGATTTCAGTTTGGGCCGGCTTTAAACATTAAAGAGTGGTGACTAAAAGCTACTGTAGAAAGATGTCAGCACAGAGGCAAAACATGTTCATACGAGAGCTACCAGCATCTCAGCTCAGTCAGCTGATGCTCCACTCAACCTCCTCTGTGTGCTGCTGGCAATATTCACACCTCCAAACAATTCTTCACTTTTAAATTCCCCACTTTCTCTTACAACAGTACACCTTTATTGTGCTTAATTAGCATATGAAATTCAAGAATACAGTGAGTTGATGGAGCAAGTTATATGGTGATCATGATAAGACAAAATAAATTCTCATAGCTACAAATTTTCAAACATCAAATCCTTGTAAATTGGGATCTGCCTGTACTTTGTCAGTACCTTTTAAAGTGTACAATTGTCAATTTTTAATTCCATCAGTGTTATGGATTTTTGAGAGCAAAATTAAATCCAGTACTGCATCCTGTATGTAAGAAACTTTTGCAAAGGACTAAATTTTTACATATACAGTACACTGAACCCTCACTACATTGATATTCACAATTTGATATTTCGGGATAATCCAGTATTTTTTGCTGATGTAGATTTTATGATTTTGGAGAGAAAGAGAGAGAGACAAAATTTTTTAAATAACCAACATGATTTTCTTTATACTGTACAGTACAGTACTGTATATGTGTTCTTATGAGGGAGGGGGGAATCTTCTTGAATACCCAGTACTTTAAGGGTGCTACCCAGTAAGTGAAAAAAATAAATAAATAAAAAATCACTGGTCAATATACATAACACACACAATGTTAGAAATGCACTCTCATGAAACTTGGACTTGGTTGAAAAGTCATTGGAATATCTACAATATTATCATAAATAATATTGTTAATCTAAAAATATACAGAATTACTCAAATAAATTGTATGATATTACCATTATATTGTGAGCACGTTACACAAAGCATTACAAATACAGTACCTGTATTTCAAAATAAGGTATTATTAGTGTACACTGCACAGTGCACCATCCTTCTGGTACTGTAGTGTTAAGATTTTCTCATGTAAGGCTTCCCAGTTTCAAACATCAAAACAAATGTACTTTAAAAATCATGAATTTCTTTTAAATTGTGAGGCATTGTATATTTATAAAAAAAAATCCATATTTTTGTGATAATTTTGTTGTTTGAACAATTCGATCTAACCAGAGCCCCGACAATATCACATTGGTGAGGGTTCAGTGCACATCACACAAACATACTCAAGAAACTCTACAGACATGTAACTTGCCCAGCAAAATATATGAGATTTAAAAATCGAATTCATGAACATTTTCAAATCTTTGTTAAAATTCATATATAACCAACACCAACCTAATAGATTTAAATTTACTGAAATGAAGATGATCGAATGCAGTGTCAGCCACACTGCCTCTTTGTGTGCCCACATTGACCATGATAGACCACTGAGCCCATGGGCCTTCTTTTTCAAGGTTTTCAAGACACAATTAGTTTTCAAACTTTGGTCGAATAACATATACAATTACACCTTTTCAATATTCCTTGATTTCCATAATTAAGTGTTGTATGTACAGTCCATGCTATTCAGGGTTCATCTTCCAAGGTCCATTGTACCCATGTTATATACCATAGATAGCTCACAGTCATCAGTGTCACCACACTGTCTGTCTTCAGGTGTATTTAAAATTGTGAGGTTCTACTGCGAGTCATTTCTGATACAAACAATGTAAAAAATCAATATACAGAGACAGACTATTTACCTTTATTTTTCTTTCTTTGGGCGGTGTGATGCTCTTTTCCTCATGATTTGTGTCATTGGTATCCTCTTTTAGGTCTGGAACCTGTTTAATCAGAAAGAAAAATATATGTACAGTATATATTACCTGCATAAAAGTTTCACTTTTATAGTCATTTTTTTAGCTGGCAGTAACAGGCTAAGAAGCCCCCCACCCCCCTTGTAGTTCTTTGAAGTTCATTGGTTCATATATAATGTTTGATTAATACTGATGTATCGCAAAACAGTAGATCCATATATAAATGTTAAGGATACTCAGTTCTGGCTCATTTTAATTCTGAATTTAATGTGTGTAATGATATAACTGCTAGAAAACATTAACTTTCAAGCTATGACTGGAAAGACCATTTGAAATAAAGAATATTTATGGTCTAAGTGACAAACAAATTCAAGCTTTCGGTGAACAGTCACCGCTACTTCTCTTTTCACTAATTATTATGCGTATCAAGACAAATGACACCGAACATATAGAGCACCAGATAATAATGACCAATTTATAAAGAGCAGAATCAAGTGTAAACACATATTCACATAAAGGTGTCATTTAATACGAAAGTTACAAGGAGGTAGTGAGCTTGGCCAAGATTCCATAATTCTTTGGTTAAATTTTGGAGCCAGTTCTCAGGGTTCCTTGGGCGCTTCTTAGCACTGGACGGTGAGATACTAGGAGTGGAAGGTGTAGATTATTATATCAAATTTCCAAAGAAAGTAAGGCAAGATATATCAGTTGGAAGGAGGAGAGAGAAGTGATGTGTGTGAAGGATTGAGTGGCTAGATTGCATGGTCTGGACAAGTACTGTACTGGTCTTTCTACACTGAAGAAAATAAATATATGGATTTTGACCAAAATCAACAACCAATACAGTAGCTTGAAGCAATTCCAAGATCACATTGTTAACATTTATGCAGAGAGATAAACACACCCAACTTTTGTACTCACCAAAATGTTATTTTCTCCTATGTATTTTTCAATACAATCCACAGCTTCCTTAAAAGTGGAGGTTTTGTTGGCGTTCATAAGACGACCTTTGTACTGGAAATATGGCTTCATGTTCGCAGATTCAATCCACGCACTAGTGAGGGAGAAAAAATTATATGAAATTAATTTCATTACACAACTTTTGTCTAACATCAGCTATCTTTAATCACAGTTATCATTCATCTCTTAGTCTATAAATTAAGATGTAATAAATAATACTTTCTCAGAGATAAGTAACTGAACACAACAGCAAATGGCAATCTCTTTTTACCAGGAGTTTAAATTATACGACAAGAATTAATTATCTTATGAGAATATAATTACAGTATCCCTCATTTTCTATGAGTTTGCCTAGCACCAATCTGCCACTACATAGCTTACTTTTAAACAACAAGAAGTCAGTACAGTACAAATTGCACAGGAATGGCAAGCAATTGTACAGACTGAAAGGCCAAGGTAATTCAACCCTCCCTCACTCCCATAGGTATAGTGAGGATTTACTGTACATTCATTATAAACAATAACTTTATCCAAAACTTATATGAACAGGCCCATTTGTTCAATTATTTCTCAAGACCACCAGCTGAATTTCAGTGGTTTTCAAGGTAAAATCTATACTGTATTCAAGAAATTTTCACGACAGGTATGAAAATTCCAATACAGTCCCACACAGTACTTTCAAGTCTGTACAAATGATGTGTATACATACAATTACAAAAAAAATGTACACTAAGAAAGCTCTAAAATATACTTACTAGTTTTCACTGCCAAAGAAGTATATAAAATGGCAGTGCTTCTTGCTGGGCTTCTTAACATTATCTCTGGCAGGTATTATCTGAAAAGAAATATATTTTCCATTCTCAGAAGCATTCCAACATCATTACTAAAAACACTAATAACATTACTACATATATTTCACTCAATCATTTGACTACCAGTAGAAAAAATTATGGAGTACAACTTAAATTAATTTCATTTACATGTAGCCCTTCTGACTTGACATCTTTAAATCTTATCCCTTAAAGGGCAGTGGCCATCATATGACGTTTAGGTTAAGCGAGCTAATGTTTGGGTGCGATCATGACACATAATCAAGTCGTTACGTTACTCATACCGGTCTTGTTTCCGTATGGATTATCTCTTGAATTGGGTGTAAATAATCTTGGGTGCGACTTATCTCGTGAGTTGGGTACGAGTTATCTCGGGTACGAGATGACCCTAACCCTAATTAACTGACAAGATGGCAAGAAAAACATTCGAAACCTTGGGTGATAAAGTTTTGTCTCACAAAGTTTAATTTCTAAAAAATCTTAAGTTAAAGATAGTTTTCTAATAAAACTGAGTGAGTAGATCAGCATACATTACATAAGATACCATGAAAACAAAACTAATTGTACAGCTATTTTCCTCCGAGCCTCTTTTGTCAAGTATGACTACATTAAGTGTCCATAAGCTATATTGTTACCACAGACTCAATATCCATAAATAATAATCAAAGCTTTGTTAGATCTCCATCAAGAAATTCTAAGTACAGTACTAACATTGAAGTGGTAAACATAAGGTCTACCCAGTGCTATAATACTCAGCAGTATACATGTTAAGCTCATTAAAACACACATCTTGGTAACAACACAACACAACTATACCAGCCACAACAACTAACCAGCCAATGTGACCCTATTGTTTATTTACATTATGACCCACTGACCTGGTATGACCCCACTAATATAAATTTTGCGTAAACTTATTTATAGAGATTCATTTAAATACCTAAATACTATAAATAAGGTGTAATATTTTATAATAGCCCACCTGTTACCCCTCCAGTAAATGTATACAGCTAACTACAATAACAGCCTCACTAACCACCCAAAACACAATTCAATTAAAAGCGGTCATAACTCTCACAAGGGTCAGAATTAGCAGTCACAACATGTAAAGTAACCTGGGCCATCATAATACACGCCTAGATCATTTAATAGTGTATATTAAGGTGGTGCCGGCCCAGACCAACAGCCCTTACTTAAGCGTCTGAAACAAGACCAACCACTCACCTTGCCCGGCCAGGGAGAGAAACCCTTCATCTTGGCCCTGAGGAATAGATATAAAAACATTAACTACCCTTTCCTTTTACACTGGCCATGTATCTTTTTACCTGTATGTCAAAGTAATAGTAGAAAAATGGTATTATAACCCACCAAACTAGGTCTCCAAGTTTGTAGGTGTCCGCCATGTTTGAAACTATCAAGCCCAGAGCATTGTGGGAGTCATGTAAGTAACCGTTGGATGCCGTCACATTTTACATTATTTATCAAAAACTAGATATCAAAATTAATTAAATTCTATAATCACTAAACACTGAATTGTTTATTATTAGATTGGTGTGATTTCTAGGTGTTATAAGAGTCAGGTTAAGGTATATTTGACAAAAGTATGATGGGGTAGTTAAGTCACGCCACATATCATCGACAGGTGGCAGCATCTTACAGTACACAAACTTTTTCACCGCCAAGTTCAAAAGTTGTTTACGTAGGCAGCCTTCACAATTATTACACCCATTTTGTCTTAAAGAAACTCAGAAAAGCCACGAAATGAGAGAGAATAGTCATAAAATTAAATAACTCTTAATTTACGTTATTCGTTATTTAGAATGAATCATTGAATTTCAATTGTTCATTCATCTTAACTGGGCCACTATAGCTTTAGTCCATCTCAACATCACTACATAGGTGTTATAAAACCTAAATACATTTAAACTTATTTTCTTTTAATATCTCTACTTTCTGTTTCCGTAATATCATTTAATTGATGTAACAGGAAGAATCATATTATTACATAATATAGTAACAAATTAATATAATGTCTTCAAATAATATTATCATCGTTATTGTCATTATTGTTATCGTTATTATTATTATTATTATTATTATTATTATTATTATTATGCTACTGATTTAGTTATCAAGTTACCAATTTTGATAATGGAGACTAATTGGGAAAGAAGGTTAAAAAACTGTCATTGTGTGAAAAATTTCACTATTTTCCCAATAAGGAAAAAAACGCACACTTTTCTTAGAATTTAGAGACAGACAGACACCAACGATAGCCATGTCATGCGGTCAGTTGCACATTGTGCATCATGCACCACCAACACAAGAGGACTTAACTACAAGCTAGCTAACCTATCATGCAGAAATACTTTTTGACAGAGAGAATGGTAGATCAATGGAACGGTCAATCAGCCCAAGCTGTGGAGTAAAGAACAGTAATGGGCTTCAAAATAGCCCTAGACTAAATTATCAAGAACAATGAAGGGATCCTACACTGGCCAATGGCCTCCTTCCCTCGGCATGGCGACCTCTAATGGGTGGCCATTAGGTAACAAAGGTAAATTACTCGAGCATAACAATAGAAGAGGAGCCATCCAGTGAGTCAACGGAAGTTTATGTAAAAGCTTTTGTGGCTTAGGTGCTATGGGCTGCTCTTTTATGAACATTTGCTTGCTTAGTCACACTTTAGTCCTCTGAAGTGAGCGCACTAGAGGAAGTATGTTGTGAGCATGCTAGGGGACGTCGTTGTGAGTACACTAGGGGAAGTATGTTGTGAGCATACTAGGGGACGTCGTTGTGAGTACACTAGGGGAAGTATGTTGTGAGCATACTAGGGGACGTCGTTGTGAGTACACTAGGGGAAGTATGTTGTGAGCATACTAGGGGACGTTGTTGTGAGCATGCTAGGGGACGTTGTTGTGAGCATACAACAGGGAGTATGTTGTACTGTTTCTCTCACTACTTCACCGTAGGGTAGCCGCCGCAGTGATGCCCTATACCATTATTTATAAGGTGATGTGAATAAGTATATTTTTATGAGAAATATTAATCTTTTCTATTTTTCCTTATTTTGTACATTCTAATTTTAATAAATAATATTTTGGGCAAATTTAGACAGCGTATTCCAACAGGTTATCACATCGAAAAAATATGTTGAAACCATGTCAATTTACATTAGACATCTATTGGAAAATCCAAAAAACTATCCGAATTTTGTTGATACGTATTCAAACACCGACATCAAAACTGACATCTGAGGTCGCCATTGTCTGACGCCGAGACTACAGTAGTTGGTGTTACGGTCTGGGCAGATAAAAAGAATTTTGAAAATCAATTATTGCTGAAACTCTGCTTTGACTTTTGTATAAATAAGGTATGAATGCAGATTGTTTGGTGGTCTCTGGTCCCTTTTCTCATTACCTAACAGATACATGAGACTTTCACCTTAATCATTGGGCAGTGTTATTATTTTATACTTTAATTTAAGCAGTTTTGAAGAATTTTTTTCCCAACACTGGCTATGGTGTACAGTACATTAACCACGTATTGTTCTTATGTCTGGAAAAACATATTTTGAGTAAAGAAAACTTTGGTTTAAGTGAACATACAACATACAGTAGTTATATACCTGTGTGTGGACTTTTTCCTGATGTCATTGTCTTTATTATACTGTAAACAACAATACATAATGTGAGGTAGGCTGTTGTGACGGCGACTCTCATACTGTGCAGCCTGTTAGCGCCTCTCTAGGAAGGCCCCTCCCTGTAACTGCCTGCTCTATATTTTTGTGCCCTGTATGATGACCCTCGTTAACACAGCTAAAGGTATGAAGAAAACTTGCTGAAGCACACTAATTCCATACTACAATACTGTATACTAATTGCTTCATGATTTCACAATCCGTCGTATCCATCTTCTAGAGTCTAGACAGACCTACTAGAGCTAGACTGACATTAGAATGGCGATGCCAAAAAAATATTTATGGAAATGAATGTAAACGACCAGGTTTATCAAACTATACGCAACACAGACTGGTTTAACTCCAACAATTAAACAGGTTAATAAAGACCACATATTAAGAAAAGAATATATTTGTTGTATACGTAGCATAACACTTAAAGAACTAACCTGTAAAGGAATAAACAAGACGATTTTCGTCAAGTAAACAGAGAATTTCGGGAATTTTTAGTCATCACACTGACGATATTGTCTTGTTCTCTATCATAACAGGGGGTCGGCCTATGAGACCCACTCCACCTGCTTCCTCGACTTTATCACCTAGAGAGTGCCGCGTCTATTGGCTATATCACGTAACATAAGCACGACCTCCTTACCTTGTACTCTCTACTCTTCAGTGGACACTCTCGGGAGGGCTGCCTGGCTGAATATATACATACTAGTTTAGATGTGGCAGCAATACAAGGAAGAAATTTGACTCTCATTACGATAAAAGCTCGAGAGGAGTCTTGCATGACCCCGACAGTTGTGGACACAAGATATAAAATAAACCGGTTTTATACTTTTATAAATCATTGGGTAATATCACCTTGTTAAGGTTTAGTGATGGTGAGGCAGTACTGTCATAACACACGTCCTCGAGAGACGAGGGAGGGTTAGGGATCCGGAGCTACTAAGGGAAGTGAGCACAGCAGTACCTGGTGTACACGGCCAAGCATCCAGTAGATTTTCTTTACAGCTATAAAACAATTTGCCTCATCATATCAAAGCCAGCAATATTATTAAACAATTCACAATTAAAACAAAGCAAACCATAGTTGATGAAATAAGGCAAAAACTGTTTGTATTACCGATATAATACTGCGCTGTGAAAGACTCCAATAATCTTAATTATAGTGTATGAACAATAGTCACATAAATATACAAGTCTATTTTGTAGTTTATTTAATCTGTCACCCAAATCCCCAGCCTCGTCAGGGGATAGACGAAACCTTTAACGTCTTTCTAGGGATATACTTGGCTGAGCCAACATTCGGTCAATCTATCAATTATGTGTTAATTGTAACAAATACCAAACACACAAGACAATATTTTTATATAAAGGGTATGAACCCGTGACAGTGTTGTGACGATTTATGTACAACGTTTCGTCACGGGAGTGAGTGTTCCCTCGCCAGGTGGCATGGCGAGTAAGATACAGTGTATGTCCTACCAGGAGGTGAGCTCCATGGGAAGTGACTCCCTTAAAAAGCAGCCACGTCGTGTCCGGTTGTTACTCAAGCTGAATGTCATGCGATTGTCTCAAGCCACAGCTAGTAAACTGGCAGCGCAGCTTCATCGAGTAGATGAGATAAATCGCCAAGTCGAAGAGATGAACTGGTTGAAAAGGGAGGAGCCGCAGGCTGATGGGAAGTGTAGATGGTGAGGGAGCGTTGAGCTAAACTGCTAGAGCAACGCACCCAGGGAGAGGTTCCCGAAGAAACACACAACAACATCTGTGTGGCAGAAGTACCATTGTCAGCTCTTTGCTGGCAACTGTGGGCCAGAACACGTCAGTAGGTGGACCAGCGCCCGAGGAACCAAGTTCTCGTTGGCGACGAGGCTGGGTCAGTCGCGGAAGAGGGGCCCGTGGGGAGGGGGGTTGGAGGTGAGGTCATCTCGTGACCTGTAGAACTGGCATGACCTTCACGATCATCCATTTGCATGACCTTCATGACCCTGATGAACTGCCATCCACTCGCATGACTTTCCACTAGCATGATCATCGACTGGCATAACCTTCATGACCTTCCATTGGCATGACCTTCACAACCATCTACTGACATGACCGTCATGACCTTCCAGTGGCATGACTGATGACCTTAATCAACAGGGATGACGCCAATCTTCGCCAGCTTGGAGATCTTCGTGGAGTACTTGAGGAATATACTGGCGGAGATCTCCAGACCCTCCAGGTGGAAGACAGTGAGGCGGCCCTCGGCGTCCCCGACCACAACATTCTGTAGCAAAATAAAGCCACCGTCAGGAGAGTCTGGTGTAGGGGAGGTAACGGGGTGAAGGAGGGGAGGTAAGGGGGGGAGGTAGGGTGGAGGAGGTAACGGGTGGAGGAGGGGTGGTAACGGGGTGAAGGATGGGAGGAAACGGGGTGAAGGAGGGGAGGTAAGGGGGTGAAGGGGTGAAGGAGGGGAGGTAACGGGGTGAAGGAGGGAGGTAAAGGGGTGAAGGAGGGGAGGTAACGGGGTGAAGGAGAGGAGGTAACGGGGTGAAGGAGGGGAGGTAACGGGAGAAGTAGGAGTGGTAACGGGTGAAGGAGGGGAGGCACCGGGGTGAAGGAGGGGAGGTAAGAAGGAAGAAGAGGGGTGGTAACGGGATGAAGGAGGGGAGGTAACGGAGTGAAGTAGGAGTGGTAACGGGGTGAAGGAGGGGAGGTAACGGGGTGAAGGAGGGAGGTAACGGGGTGAAGGAGGAGAGGTTGTACAGACAGTGTTTACGAGTGGGTGAGGATATTCGTAACTGTTACATACACTAGTGTTACATGCCCAAGTGTTACATACCCTGGTGTGGGGGCTGAAGGTAACGCAGGTAGCTCCTTGGTGTGGCTGGATGAGGATGGGTGTGTGGGTGGAGAGAGAGATGTCCCACAGGTGGAGGCCGCCGCCGTGTACGCCAGCTATCAGATTGCCATACCAGGGACACCAACAGGCGTCTACGTACCCGCTCGACACTGTCTGTCAGGAGGCAACACAATTACGACAAACAAGAGTCTGTGGACAGTTCAATATCAATTACTAAATTATTGTTTTTCACTGGACATTCTAAGTAACTTTAAGAGAATATTTGGGGCCAGCGCGTCTCGGAGCTTCATTCAGGCCAACATGTCTCTTGGTATTGGATTTATTGACACGACAGACAGGAACAAATGGTGATGTTTCAGGTACAATTGTGAAAAGTGTGTTCTGGCTTATGGTAAGTGTGTCCTCTCACACTACGATACATCTTTTATTAATAATAGTTGAAAACCTTTACTATACTAAGGTTATATCATATCAGGAATAAGACATGAAAAAAGGCAATGATTTCTAACAGTCCTCTAGGAAATTACATGCATCACTAGACATATGATGGGGAAGAGGGACACTCACCTCCACCAGCTTGAGGACACAGATGGGGGCGGGCTTATCGATGTACCAGACGCGGATGGTGTCGTCGAGGGCGGCTGAAAGGAAGATGGAGTTTGCGTCCTCGCCTGCCGACCGCCACGCCACTCTCGTCACCAGCGCCGTGTGACCCTCATACACTCCTCCCACTCGCTCACGCTCGAAGGTTCGGCACTGTGGGCAGGAGGCATAGTAGTGAAGGGGTATGGGGCTAAATGGTACAGGGTATATTTTTCACGATACCTGGTCTAGTGTAAGCCAAGCCTGGATATAACCCAAGCCTCAAGTACTCACTAAGAGGACGTCACCGGCAGTAGTGCCCACCAGGTAGGTGGTCTTATCGCCAGGACGGAAGTGCATGGAGGTAGCAGGTACTTTCTGGGGAAGGGGGAGGCCCCCAACATCAACACCACCCCCCTTGCTGCCGTCCCCGGCCATACAAGATCGCCTCAGAACTTCTTCCAAACCTCCCGAGATCCTCAGTGACAACCACAGCGGGAGGCGCACGTTCAGCAGCGCTACAACCAGGAAACCAAGAGTGAGGACACAAAGAAGAGACAGAGTTATGATTTATTGGGGCAGTAGAGGGTGATGGCGTAATGCTGGTGAGTTACTGGTGTAATAAAGGATAGATATAATGGGACTATGGACTTACTGGTGCAGCAGAGGATGGTGCCCTTGATAAATATCCACTCCTTCACCGTCCCGTCCTCTGAAGAAGACACCAACACATAAGCGATCTCCGATCCACTCGTTGGCGTTCCCTGCCGGCATTACTTCCGTCAAGGTATATAAACACAGGTCCTCTTCCCTCACTCGCACATTAATTTCATTCAATATAAGCAGATCCTCCTCTTGCGCACACACACACACACACACCTGCATGTCGATGACGAGGCGCCTGAAGGAGGGTGGACGGTCGCCGGAGGGGGTGAGAGTCTTCTTGGTGGCGCTGCTACTGACTACCTGTGAGTCCCTCCATTCTACCGCCCACACCGGGGAGCAGTGCTTGTCCACACTCACGCTATGGAATGTGCGTGGTGTTAGCAGGTGTGGGTGGTGTTAGTAAGTGTGGGTGGTGTTAGCAGGTGTGGGTGGTGTTAGCAGGTGTGGGTGGTGGTAGCAGATGTGGGTGGTGGTAGCAGGTGTGGGTGGTGTCATTGATGTTAGTTTTATTCTTTCTTTGTGCTGTCTTGTTGAACCATCTTCGGTGTCAATGCGTCTACGTGGTTAATTGACTACCACATTGTTATAACTTTCATGGAAGTTGTTCTCGCCTCCTAAGAAAGAAGGATTTTATAACTGACACGTGAGTGGAGCGTCCTGGAAGGGATCTTTCTGATTTAACAACTCTACTTTGAAACTTTAGCAACTTTGTATTCATATAAGAGGCAAATTTAATAAAGTTTTAGTATAATAACAGCATATATTTCTATCTTTCAACATAACCACCATCTTTCATGATACGAATTCTTACACGGGTTATAGGAGTGATAAGTTAAGCAGGGAAGGATAATACCGTAGACTTTTCTCACTCCCCTTCTCGTTTCGTATTTGATTTTTACTTCCTTCACTTACTCTCTTTATTACAAGTTTAAGTAACACATGTCTCTGTACCCTGAAATAAGGTCAAGCTAATATCGGGTAAGCTAGTGGAATTTTATGAAGCTTTGTGAACTATACGGGAAAGACTTTAATTCAGGGCAGTAATAGTGATGCACGGCCACTGTAACAGCTTGTTGACGAAAGATAATTCAAAAAGATCATTTAAGTGATAAATTTTACATGAATTACAACACAGATAAAATTTAATTTAGTTAATTAGTGTGCGTGTGTGGCGCAAGTTGGATGATTAATGTTACGGTATGTTTATTGGGGTGTTCTTGCGTTTCCTTTCATTTATTCGGGAATTTATTTCGTTGAATATAATTACAGTCATGTCTTGCTCCAGTATTAAGGTTTTTGACGCTCCTTTTTAACTTATATAATTAGGCTAAATAGTAATTTTATAAAGATACATTGAAGGATTAATTACTTGGTTGAAATTCAATGTTTCCTAAATAAAACTGACTTTATAATACTGAGTCAACTCTAACATTGTTGAAACTTGATATTTATGCAGCGATTTTTTGTATCATTATCAGTTGTGAGTTTAGGATTCATAGGGTGACGGAGACCACCTGGCAGACTCACCTGGTGTCCATGACCAGCTGTGGGGGGGAGGTATCCAGCTGGTACACGTGAAGCGTTCCGTCCAGGAGAGCGACACAGCACAGCTGGGGCGCCCCTGGACACGAGCTGACTACTGTGGCCGGACCCGGCAGTGACAGCCTGGGGGTGTAGCAGGGGATTACTGTGGTACTGGTGGGCCCCGGCAGTGACAGCCTGGGGGTGTAGCAGGGGATTACTGTGGTACTGGTGGGCCCCGGCAGTGACAGCCTGGGGGTGTAGCAGGGGATTACTGTGGTACTGGTGGGCCCCGGCAGTGACAGCCTGGGGGTGTAGCAGGGGATTACTGGGGGTGACAGCCTGGGGGTGAAGCAGGGATTACTGAGACAGGGGCCTGCAGTGACAGCCTGGGGTGTAGCAGGATTTCAATAGCAGCCTGGGGGTACATTACTGTAGAGCCTGGTGGGCCCTGCAGTGACAGCCTGGGGGTGTAGCAGGGGATTACTGGTGGGCCCCAGTGACAGCCTGGGGTGTAGTTGATCATTGGTGGCCCCTGGCAGTGACAGCCTGGGGGTGAAGAGGGATTACTGCAGAGCCCGGCAGTGACAGCCTACTGGGGATTACTGTGGTACTGGTGGCCCCGGCAGTGACAGCCTGGGGGTGTAGCAGGGATTACTGGGTATTGGTGGGCCCCGCAGCAGCCTGGGGTGTAGCAGCCAGGCCCCGGCAGTGACAGCCTGGGGGTGTAGCAGGGGATTACTGTGGTACTGGTGGGCCCCGGCAGTGACAGCCTGGGGGTGTAGCAGGGGATTACTGTGGTACTGGTGGCCCCGGCAGTGACAGCCTGGGGGTGAAGCAGGGGATTACTGGGGTACTGGTGAGCCCGGCAGTGACAGCCTAGGTGTGTACCTTGGGATTACTGTGATACTGGTGGCCCCGGTAGTGACAGCCTGGGGGTGTAGCAGGGGATTACTGGGGTACTGGTGGCTCGTGCTGGACTTATCTTGTGCCTATTTCTTATTCCATGACCTCAAAATATTGCAAGTGGATTAAAAACATTATAAACTTAATGAAATGATTACACAATTACCTGACATAATAACTACCATAGTGTTCCCGTTTCTTAGTCTTATAGGTAAGGCTGAGACTACTGTACTTTAATGTTCAGGAATTTTTAGGATCAGGAAATACTGAATATGCTTCAAGTATTCTGAGGATTTTAGAATTAGAAAGATAAGCCATCATTCAATAGGCTTTATTTTCCAATGGTGAACAGTTTAAAAAATATCACAGTTTACCATATAAATTTTCTATAACCATTTCTATGTATCTATCCATAAAAAATAAACATTTCTTGATGCTAGACTATACTATCCATGGGGACGACACTTGACACTCACCACAGCTCAGGTTGTGGGATCCTCTTGACGTTCCAGCCCACCAGTGAGCCTTCGATAGTCCCCGTGAACCCCAGCGCTCCATACGTCGCCACCACCAGCCACTGTCAACACCACCCTCTTACTGTCCTGTTACTGGCACCACCAGCCACTGTCAACACTACCTTGCTAATTACTGGTCTAGTCTAATTACATTATACCAGGAGACAGCAAACAATATAACAATGATTATTATACTCGTGGCACCCATGACTTCGGTGACGTAAATAATATTAAATAATCAGAGCACCAGAGAAGAGATCATCACTTTAGATATATATAATATGTTAGCTTATAAACCACTGATCATAAGCATAGAGAACTGAACGATGCTAAAGGACGAGACTTACCGGCGATGTCCTGCAGAAGGTGACACCGTTAATCCGGCGGCCGAGGGTCTTGGGTGAGCTGAACTGCCACAGTGTTTCTATACTCGCACGTTCTGTCGACATGCTCACCTTCCGACCTTGTGTTACAGTTCTTTAGTTAAATGTTTAGTAAAAAGGTTGAATACTTATTAAACCACATATAAAAACAAATCATATCAACGAAGTACATAAGATAATACTACTACTACTACTACTACTACTACTACTACTAATAATAATAATAATAATAATAACAATCATATAAAACACATTAAAGGCTTTGAACAGGTTAAACTATTTTCTCAATATAGAAATGGAAGCCTTGGACTGACCCTCCTTCACTTGGTGGCGGCCTCTGGTGTAGGCGTGGAGGAGGTGGATGTTCCCTGTAGAGGAGAGCTGTCGCTCCACCCAGCCCAGACCTCGCAACAGCCCCGACATCTCCACCCCGCGCACTCCACCCACCCGCTCCTCCACCTGCTGATGTTATTCAGTTACTTTGACTTACTCACACCGTCTATTACCACACACACACACACACACACACACACACACACACAGTATGAGAGAAATTGATACTTACGAGTTCACTAGGAGCTGTGAGATCTCCGGTATAATAACGTAGTGTGGGTTGTGATCTTCTCCTCGTTGCGATGTCGGATTGTCTTCTGGGACGAACTGTGTGGGCAGGGGAGAGTTGCTGAGTTACTGTGTATGTTGACGTAGTACATAGGTGATGGAAGGAAACTAAAAAATGAAGAAAGGAAACTAAAAATGAAGAAAGAAACCCACAGTTATCGATATTACTTGAATGGAACATACTAGGAGGTACACGGATATGTTATAAGTCATTGGGAACCTCCGGGGAGCTATTTCAATGTTTGTCTTATCGCTATTTCTTCCCTGTATTTCTAGTAACTTAGATACGTTTACCTGTCATCTTTATCTTCTCATATTCGTCATACATATCCCACTGTGTTGCCCAGCTGCCCGTGTCCTGATGTTGAAAGAAAACAGATTTATGGTTTGACAAAAGGGAAACATATATAATTTTTTCTTCTATTTTACACTGATATGTCTTAATTAGTTTACAAATAACTTCTATAGCAAAAGTTGTGGTGGTGAGTGAAGTCAAGTCTTACCACAACTTCTACTAATAATAAAAGCCAGTATTAAACAGTAATAAAACTAATTTCAGAGATTTACCTTAAACTGGACGGCAGATTTCTGGGTAGTCTTGTCGACGTAGTACTTAAGGAGAGTCTGGCAGGTGACCTCTCTCTTCCTAACTGTCTGACCTTCACGCTTCTGGAGGTGACCACAAAAGGATCTGGTAACACTTAAGTTTATTACACACAGTGACACACACACACGCACACACACACACGCACACTCACAGACACACACACACACTCACACACACACACACACACTCACACACAGACACACACACACACACACACACACACGACAGATGGGTTATATTCAGATGAACTTATACCATAATAATGTCAAACTAAGGTCAAGTATGTTAAACTTAAGCTCCACCAAAATGACTAACACTAGACATATATCCTACTTATGTTATCTTGTTTTCTTAGGCTAAATTCAACACATTCTAAGCTCAGTTCTCAGTAAGACATAACCTAAGTTCTGGGTTATTTTAAAACATTCTTAGCTTTCAATATGACTTTACATAAATCATACTGTAGAATTTACAAACCTCTGAGGAATACTAGTAAAAATATATAACAAAAATATTATAGATTTGTTCATCATTGTTACTGTTCACTGCCAACACAGATATTGTAATGCAAGTGACGATTCATAAGGTTTAAGTGAAGTGAATATAAAAATTGTGATTTCCAGGTGCATCTTACCAGTGGAAGATATTTACCTGTGTGTGTGTGTGTGTGTGTTACCTGTGAGTGTTACCTGTGAGTGTTACCTGTGTGTGTGTGTGTGTTACCTGTGTGTGAATATTAGTTACCTCTGTGTAGGTGTCCCACTCTTTTATGTATTCCTGGGCCACGGCGTCGAGGGTGCAGACGGAGGTATTCTCCTGCTGGTACAGAAGGAGTGTTGGCGTCTCCTGAAGCCTCACCCGCAGCGTCAGTGTCATGGTCCAAACTGCCAGCCCAAGATAGAGACAGTTAGGTAGGTAGGTAGATATTTGTTAAGTAAGATCGTCATATAAATTTATGATTGATCCAGCTGATATATTGGTTATAGAAGCCGCAATGTACAGGAGAGAGTTCATCTGTGGATATTAACAGATATAAAACATCAAAGGTTAACGTTTTAATGCATGACGCGCTGCAACACCTTTGTCTTTGATGAATTTTGTACATTAATTATGACGAGCCATTACAAAGAAGCTTGTGAGGCAATGTCCATTATGGTGAGGAATGAAGGTCGACCTCAGGGCACACACTGATTAGTAACGTTAATACACAGATGACTTTTTTTTCGCAGAATGACCTTTCATCGATATTCTTTTGAACTGGTTTATTGTTGCTGAAAGTTACGCATCGAATGAGATTTTGCGGAGGGCAGCATGTGCGTGACGGGATCCGCTCAAGCAAGTGACTCACACAACAATCTGTTTCTTTTCTTCACAATTTCCGAGAAACAGTCCAAGTTATTTACTAATACAGAGTGTGGAGCTCCAGTCATTATTACTGTACCTCAAGAACACAAACCAGAGAGAAGATTACAGGTGTGAGTGTTGACAGAGAGCCACTAGGCTACTGTTTCCCCGAGTCAATGTTATAATGTCTCCAGTCTGAGTTATCGTACAGACAGACAGACAGACAGACAGAGACAGACAGACAAATATTTATTCATTGAAATTTTTATACAAGTTTACAGTTGGTTCAGCATGCATATAAACAACGCAGGTATACAGTGTACAGTACAGTACATTACCGCCACACTTAACATGTTTAGTGGTTGAAGAACTTCGTGACCTGCGTGATCATTTCGTGACCAAGGGAGGAAGGGAGAGAAGTAGGGAGGGAGGGAGGGAGAGAAGTAGGAAAGGACAGAAACATTGTTGACCTTGACAGAGGGAGGGAGGAGGGGAGGGAGGAGGAGGGAGAAAGAAGGAGAAAGGACAGAAACAAGTGATGATGTGACCATGGAGGGAGGGAGGGAGGAGGGAGGGAAGGGAGGAGGGAGAGAAGTGGGAAGGTTTATGATCACAATAAACCAAGGGGGGGGGGGGTCACATTCATGCTCCACCAACATGTTTGTTATCCACTACTGTCAACAACATGACCTGATAAGCATACACTGAGTCATATATTGTTGGTACTGTTGGCTATCTATGAGAGGTCAGGATTACTGAACACAAGTGCTATTGTAAGTTACGTCGTCTCTCGTTCACTTCCACAATAAAGAAATAAGTGAGGAAGATAGTGTGAGTGAATTATTCCTTTGGGTGATATAAACTTGAGGTCATCATAGATATTTTTCTGTGGCAACAATGGCAGTCCTTTTCGAAGAGGGACACATTCTTTATTATCCCCATAAACTGACACATTCATTCACTTGCAATACTTTAATTCTGTTTATATATATGATGCTAAAGTATTGTAATGAAAATTATATGTTCATTTTTTATTCATTTACAAATGTGTCTGTCCTCAGGTCTCTAGGGACAACATATCTAACTGGATAATGCATTGTTCTTCTTGTGATGTTTGTCAGGTCTAGAAGTCATCATTTTGATTTTATTTACCATTTAATTCTTCAACTTCACTATATTCTGTCATTATCATCACCGTCCATTCCTTCTCTTTACTTTCCTTGTTTACTTGTTTATTCTTCCTTCTATTCCCCCTTTTCTCTTTCCTAATTTGTTTCTCCGTATTTTCCTTCACAGTTGCTCAGACCTACATGGCTACCACCAGCCTGCCGGGTTCTCCTCCCTTTTATAGCACCTCCCCCCCCCCCAACCCTTTGAGGACCCTACCAATCAATACTGTGACTCTCGTACTTACTGTATACAAGATAACTTGACTTTTTGCTCACTTCAACCCTGTAAGAGAGTCTCTCTCTCTCTCTATCTCTCTCTCTCTCTCTCTCTCTCTCTCTCTCTCTCATCAGTTCTATATTTCGAGAAATAAAATCAAAAGCACATTGACATTATCACCGTGACCAAATTATCCACTTGGGTGATATGAATACTAATTAATATTTCTAATACGACTTACAGGTTATAATCAGAAATTTAGAATAAAGGATCTTCAAAATAATACAGAAAAGAATTCTCCCAGTGTATATGTATAATTTACCTCTTAATACACAACACAAATACATTTTTCTACCCAACGTGATAATTACAGTAAATAATTTTCACCTATAAAAAGACTAAATAGAATAAAAGTCCAAACACACACACACACACACACGTTAAACTGTGAACTTGTCCCAGCGTACAAGTCACCATCATCAAAGAGACAGTTAATGTCTTCATGTTTCCTGGTAATTACAAAGTCGAGACAGTGAGGTTATATTATCGGCGAGGGAGACACAACTCTCACTGATAAGGCTTGTGGTGTGACAGTGACTACACCTGGCCTGGCTCCAGCGCTTGTGATGTGAAGTATTCTATCATCCACGAGTTTCATATCATTGTTAACATTCTATACACGGTATTCTGGGTCACTCACACACACACACACACACACGATTTTGGACTAAGAATATGAGGGTTTAGATGTGAATCCCATTAAACTTCTGGACATTTTTGCTGGAGAACGGAAGCAAAGATCTCGAATCTTCTGATAAAACTCGTTGACACCACTACTACTACTTGCTGGGTCACCTGGTGCAGCAGGTCATGTACAGTAGATGAACAAGGAGCAACGAGAAAGCTGTGCCTGTGGTAGTTAAGGTCAAAGAATGTCAACACGGGTCGAGGAAATATTGACATTATCTAGGTCATAGGTTAAGGTGGTGTAGGCCGACATGATGTTTGTGGCGAGTACCTCTGGTTTCAATTAAAGTAAAGGCGACACTTGGTTGTATAAGAGTCGATTACAAAGAACAATTATCGGTATTCACAACAACAACCATTTCACCATCTAAGTTATTTGATATTGTTGGATAATTTTTCTCAGTTCTACAGATCCTTATGGAGTGTTTTGCGTTGATTAATTTGATCGGGTCTCCATCAGAGACTTAATAAGCCCACACATAATTACACACTCATAAACGTTTATATCAGACACAATATTTATGTGGACCGCGCGGCTGTTACTCAACGCTGTAGGAGGAGTGACGGCAAGAGTGAGTAAATAATCTGATGAGTAACTGGAGAGAGAGAGTCTACAACTAACGGAACTATATTCTTCTGCACGAGATGAAAGTTACAGGGGAGAAAAAAGCCACAACTTGGTTCACACAATACGTCATAATAACTAAAAATAATTAAAAGTCAGGCAATTAGTTGACAACTAGGAGACTAGCGGCTGTTGGGTGACAGTGTGCAACAACTAATTATCACACTGACCTTAGTTGTACAGTACAGATGTGGAGGTAAGGTGGCCGCTACATCTCTTGTATATTACGTTAACATTATCATCACGTTATTACCATCACATTAATTATCACACAACATACACAAGAGAAGACGATGATAGCGGGAGGTAGTGGAGCGTGGCGCGTGGGTGGGTGGTAACGAGACCGCAGCTCCACCACCGTCATCTGCCGGGTAAGTGGGTAGACTGAGAGTATCTTCCTGAGGCCAGTGTTGATATGGTCGTCATAGCAACGCCCACGCCGCCGCCGCAGCCGCCCCACGTGCTGCGGTTCACAACACACCCCCGCCACCCTGACATTATACCCTTGTTAAATTAATTGATAAATTGATTTCCTGTCGAGGGACTTTTTTTTTTACTGTTTAATTCATGGTATTAGACGCGTGTGTGAGGTAACGAGGGGTCGCTCTATACGCCAGGTGGTAATCTTGTTATGCATGCGTTTAACACTCATCCTGACCCCCTACCGTGCTGTTACATGTCTACTTGTCTGTCTGTCTACTTCACTGTCTGTTTCTCCATTTATCTGTCTATCTGTTTGTTTGTTTGTGTCTATTTTCTATTTTTTCTCTTAAATTTTCCTTCCATTTTTATTTGTCATCTACATCCATCCATCTGTTTGTCTAATGTCATTCTCCTACTGTCTGCCATAAGTCATTTTCTTACTTTAAAAACCTCTTCCTTACAACAGTGTACTCAGAACCATTTAGACGCCGCGTAAACATGACAGTACAGTACACACACCTACTTACACCATGACACTGTACACTGTAACACTGTACTTGCCTGCTTCTACTAAGACATCGTATACAAACCTACATTCACTATGACAGTTTTACAGACTTGTGTGCATTATGACAGCGTCCAAACCTCAATATACATCATGACAGAAGATAGACCCGCGTGTGCAGAGGCAGCCAACACCTCCTAATCTTAGTCAGATCCGAGTCAGTTCTTCTAGTCACTGCGGCAAGTTGGTAATAGATAAACACGTGTTGTGTTATTCACAGAAGGAAGATGTACAGTGTGTCTTAGTGTGTCGTATAGTGTCAAAGATGTTCCTCACGTCTTGGTGTGTGTGTGTGAGCGGTAAGTTACTATACTGCGTGACGTTCGAGGATCCCCGTGGCTGAGGTGGAGAGTAATCGCCGTTTTAGAGGTTTTAATCCTCTTGTCATTTCGCTGATGCCGGGTAAGTGTCTCTTGGTGAAGGAGGGGGATTTATCGGGATGAGCGACTGACCACGTGAAAAAGTGCAGTATTTATGACCAGCTCCTGGTTGTGGACGTCCGGATTTTCGTAAATAAAAAGTTGGTGAATGTTTATTTTCCTAAGTAAACAGGTTCCTAGGTGTATATGATCACCTGTACACATCAAAGTAAACATTTGTCTGTTAAATCCCCCCAAAACTTATGTATTTACAATGACAAATATCTGAGAATATATATGTTTATAAGAATTACTTTATATTTTATGGTGATGACAGCCAGTTACAACTATTTACAGATAGTTCACGAACTGCGGCATTAAAACACACAAACTACATCACTAGAACACACTGACCACACCCTTAGAACA